CTTCCACCAGTCCCGTCCTCTGTAGGTGAGATCTCAGCCGGCAGTGGCCCGTGTACACTGCAGTGAGCACACGCGTTCCATTCCTACCGGCCTTTAGGAGTTCTCCTGTTCTATGTTTGGATGGCCCTGCTAGGATTTTCTTGGCATGCTCCATTCCGGGACTGTCATTCCAGTCTCGGAATCACCCCTAACCCATTCACAGAGCCTGTCTCTTGCGAGATTTTTGGGAACGCTAAGTGTCGGTTCTGGGCCCACGAATGGCGAGCCTGCACCAATTTTGGCGAGGGAATCAGCACGTTCATTTCCCTCTAGGCCCACATGTCCCGGTATCCATATTAGCGACACTTTGTTCCTATCTCCCAGTATATTGAGTAGTTTCTTACAATGAAAAATCATCACGTGCTTTTCGTTGCCTCAAGTGCTTTCAGCGCAGCTTGACTATCCGAAAATATGCATATTGTTTTCCCGGTGTATTGCTGTTCTACCAGCAGTTGCACACAGGTTTCAATAGCATATAGCTCAGCTTGGAAGATCGTGGTGTGTTTTCCAAGACTGTGGTAGATCTCAGTCTTTGGACTGCTGCAGTAAATTCCTGCGCCAGATCCTTTTTCGTTTTTGGATCCGTCCGTGTACCAACACATTTCCGCATGTAATAAGCCGTTTCCCGGCTTATCCCACTCGCCTCTGTTCGGAAACAGGACGTTGTAGGTGCGCGTCAAGAGTTGGACTGGTGGTGTAAGATCCGAGATCATTTCCATAATCTCATCCGACTGTAGTTCTTCTACTAGCCGGTTTTGTATGAACATAATTGTTCCTTGGCTTCCTCGTGCTATATTTAGAAACCTATATGTAGCCCATCTCGCCTCTCTTTCCAAAAGAATTTGCAGAGGAGGTAGATCGAGTAGGGTTTCCATAGCTTTTGACGGCGTGGAATGCAAGGCACCAGTCACCGCTAAGCATGCTTGTCGTTGTAGTTTCGACAATTTATTCTTTGCCGTTATTTGGTTGGCTTTCTGCCACCAGGCAACTGCACCATACGTGATAATAGGTCTGATGGCCGTCACGTATAGCCAGTACATATTTTTGGAGTTTAATCCCCAGTTTCTACCACAAATTCGGCGGCATGCCCATAGAGCATAGCAAGCCTTTTTGATGTTTTTCCAGATGAGAGGTCCAGCTAGGTTTTTGTCCAGGTTTAATCCCAGATACTTAACTTCCTCCGCAAACGGAATTGTCTCACCAAGAAGAATGGGCGGTTTCAGTTTGTCTGTTTTCCTTCTTCTGGTGAATGGTATGATCACGGTTTTCTGTGGGTTTACACTTAATTGTTCCAGTGTGCACCAGCCGTGAATTGCATCTAGGATTTCCTGTATTTTTGAGGAGATGTCCTCCTCTTTGTGTCCTTTTACTAGGATCACCAGGTCGTCCGCATATGCCTGTGCTTCAACCTCGTATGCATCGATGATTGCCATCAGGTCGTCCGCCTGCATTTTCAGCCTTTCTTAAAAAAATATTAAAAATACAAGAACTGTCCTGAAATCAAAACTATAATGTAGGTATTTACTTTAGATGGTCTAAACTTACTTTCTATAAATATTTCAATCTTAAATCATACAGGATGTTCAAAATTCTACGCCAAAGTTTCTAAAATATAAAATAATTTTTCTTTGGTTTTTAGCCGACCATGCCAATATGTATGGCAGGCTATTAGGATCGGCAAAAAAAAGTTTTTTTTTAATTTCACTCAAAATCAGTTACTTGGGTCATAAATGACCTAAATACAAAATATTTTCATGGTGTCTGTCTGTATGTCTGTCTGTCTGTCCGTCCGTCTGTAACACGATAACTCAAAAACCGCTGAACCGATTTTAAGCAAATTTGGCACAAAAACACTGTGGCACCCGAGAATCTGGCCTTTAGTTTTTGGTGGGGGTGGGGGGTTGGTAAGGGGGTATGGGAGGGGGTTAAAAATTTTAAAAAATCGTAACTCCAAAATTACAGTAGCTAGCGAAACGCGGTTTTCAAATTAAGATTAGGAATAATATTTGCAACAAAATTTGTAATAACATCAAAATCAGTCAAAGTCGCAGTTTTCGAGATATTAACATATTTTAGTATGGGCGGCTATACGTGCCTCCCGGCGCCAGTTTTTTTTTAAATGGAAAGTCCTGTATATTATGTTTTTATTAGATGGAGAATTAAAAAATGAAAATTTTTGTATTTAAATCATTTCAACATTTTTAATGGTTTGGCAGCTCACTCAACGGTAAAATACGAGAGAAAAATTATTGGGTGGCTTTAATAAAAATTTACTGTGGAAAATGCCATATGAAATATAAAACCGCAAATATCTGCGAAACCATTAAATTTTTTTAAATACTCTAAGAACAAAAAATGCTCATTTCTTAATTCTCCATCTATTGAAAAAATAATATACAGGTTGTTCGACTTAAAAAAACTAAGAAAAATAATTTTATATTTTAGAAAGTTTGGTGTAGAATTTTGAACATCCTGTATGATTTACGGGTACCATATTTATAACAAAGTAAATAACAGACCATCTAAACTAAATTATTTTATTATTATTTTTTTATTAGATGGAGAATTGAAAAATGAAAATTTTTGTATTTAAATCATTTCAACATTTTTAATGGTTTGGCAGCTCACTCAACAGTAAAATACGAGAGAAAAATTATTGGGTGGCTTTGATAAAAATTTACTGTGGAAAATGCCATATGAAAATACCTATAATATAATTTTCATTTCAAGACTGCAGTTTTTGTATTTTTAATTTTCTTCTATGAAAGGCTGAAAATATAAATATATTTTTATTTCTTTATTAATATCTCTGAAACTATCGAAATATATTTACTCATATCTCAGGATTATGTAAAGTGGTCTGAAAGGAAGTCAAAAATGCAGTAATATACAGGGTGTTCCCTTTAAAAAAAATTATCCCCATCCACTCACATTTTTTTAGACCACCCGATAAAAGTTAAAATATTTTCCTGAAATACATCCTGGAACATACTTTAGGTTTGCACTTTCCAAGTTTTTTATTCCAGGAGCTACAGATGCCCGACGCACTGTTGCCGAACCCTGTATAATTAAATAAGCTAATTATTTTTAGTATTTTTTATTAAGTGGAAAATAATGGGGCTCATTGGCGTAACTACAGGGGTGCCCAGGTACTGCTGGGCACCCCCCAGAGAAATCCTGAACTATGACTCTTGGCTACGTATCAATTTTTATTTGCTTGTGATGAAGTAAAAATGACGTTTTCTAGTTTTGTTTAGTTAATATTATTTTTTTGTGTTTTTTATTTTTTTTTAGAAAATTTGTAGGTATTTAAGTAATCTACGGGAACACGGTTTGATAACCAAGTCTATGAAATGTATTGATAAGAAATTCATGTAAACGTTTTATTCATAAAATGTGTTTTTTAAAATTATTTTTCAATTTAAAAAAAAACAAAAGCCCTAGTTACGCTAATGGTTGGGGCCTCGCGAAGATGTTCGCCTAGTGTCTCCACTGGTTACTATCCTTAATATTTGTTAAATAATAATATCAATGGTAAATATGAATTTAATTTCTTTATAACCCCTATTTGTAAGTGTTATTGTTAAACGCCCATATTTTCGGACATAATAGAGCGACAATTTAACCCGTATAGAAATGTAAGGGATGATGGTGTTTAAATTCAATAGTTTTATGACCATATTTAAGTAGTTTGACGACAAATTGAATCCGTTTTTGTAACTATACTGTACCAATAATTTAAGTTGTCCAAAACTGACCAGCACGAAAAAATCGCAATAAAATTTTTCGATTACAACCCCCCCAATAAGAATTTAATATCACATTGAAGAGTCTTGAGCACCAATAAAAGGTGAGGCATAAGACAAATTTAAGTTAAAGATATTCGTCAACTTCGTGCGTAAACACATAGTTCTATAGATCGCATCATCATGGTGAATTGTACAAGTGCAGTTAAAAGTGTTGTTGACGCGGAAAATCAAATGTGAGTACATAATAATTATAAGTTTAAGCAATTTAAGTAATTCGTTAATTATAAATTTAAGTTTTGGTAAAAGCTATATTATCATATTTTTTGATATAATAATTTATGCGAATATTTTGGTCCGAAAAAATACAGGGTGAGTCTTAAATAAGTGCAAATATTTTTAGGGGTGGTATATTTCGACCTCAGAAAAAACGATTATGAGTTTTTCGCGAAAAAAAAATTTGAAAATTTCGAATTTTTTGAAAAAAAATTTGGCATTTTTGACAAAATGGCGACATAGGTAGTAGATTAAATTTACAAGAAATAAAACCTATAAAAGATTCAGTGTTTCTAAAAATTTAAGCAAACATTTTTTTTTTTTGAAAATTTGCAAAGTAAAATATCTCGGTTATTTTAGATTTATTTGAAAAACTGTAAAGAGAAAATATATGTTTCTTTTATCGAGATCCACCAGCCATGAAAATATTTGCACTTATTTAAGACTCACCCTGTATATATGTAACTATTATTGGGTAAATAAAAAAAATACATATAATTTCTTATAATTTTTAATTTAACATAGTCTTGCAATTATATTAATTTTGCAATAATTGGAATCAGAGTTAACTTTAATGTTTTTTGGTATTAGTTTGATATTATAAATAACCAACTTTTTTTAGAAATTATTAAACAAAAAATATGTATAATTATTATTCATTTAAACTTTTATCTGTTTTTACTTATATTATATTTTATTTTGAACAGAAAATAATCATCTTGCTCTTATGAAACTAAAAATATTAATAAACAAAACAAAAAAAATCTCCACTAAAATATTTTTGACAAAAAATATAGTTAGGTCATCTAACGTAACTTTCTCTTAAATTTTTGTCAATCTTTATGTAAGCTATATTATTAATTTACATTTTTTGTTTTGATGAAATTTTGCACCTTTTCGATTTTTGATATTTTTTCTTGAGAGAATCTCCCAGTTTTTTAAATTATTTTCTTATTTTGACAATATTCTGTATCTCTTATCCGTCCGTAAAAGTCCGTTAATAAAATTACTATCAAAATTGATAATCTGAAACTCGTCAGTTTTTAAATATAATTTTATTCAGAGTTTGCGGTGTAAACGTAACCAGTGGGTTTTAACTTCAGTTCAATGATTAAAGATGTCGCTTGCGAGGGGTGGGATCTGGGATCAGCCAATGAGAGATTGCTATGTGACGGAGAATTTGACAAGCGCAGTAAGCGGCGCGGCAGTGTTCATTTATCCACAGAGGTGAGAGCAAAGCCGCCTGAAAATCGAAGTGAGCCGGACAGAACTTAATATCCTGTGTTTTCCAAGTTTTAAAAGGGCTAGAATACCTTTTTTCTTTGATGTGGTCGCAGAATCTTGTGGTTTTTAGTGTGTTTCGTTTATTATCCTTTTCGTAACGGTTAAATGAATAATTTTACGCGTGGAGAAAGTGTAAATAAATCGGATCGGCCAAAAACAATACGGCGAGACAAACCATTTGGTGACACTTCACAAGGATCTTACCGGAAAACGTGGCAACCTTGTACAATTCAACCGCGTGAGGATTAATTTTGAGGTTAACTGTTGGGCCTTAGCAGCAACATTGCCACATAAATGGTGTTGAGTGAAAAATAAGGTTCATTGGGCTGAAACGCGGGACGCAAAATTTTTTGGCTCGACATGCCGGCGTCAACTTTCGATCCCGTTGATTCGGCTTTGAGAACATCTCTCATCAGAAACGGCAACGATCATGGAAATTTAGACTCTCAGTTAGCTGGAAGCACGAGAAAAGCGCTACTTTCCGATATAGATTTTGAAAGTGCTGGTAGTTATCAGTGTTCGGTGTGGGACGTTATAAAACCAAAACACATTGTTCTGAAAAGTGGCGAAAAACAACAAAATAGGTGAGAACAATCAGATTTCTGTGTAGTGTTGAGTTTGATGACCTGTAGCAAGTTAAATTTAACCTTATTTATATTCCGAAACTGACGTTTAATGTAATAAAGGCATCGACAAAAACTGTAAATTTTTATTTTTCGTTCATATAAGCTGATATAAGCACATAATAAAATATTGCTTCATCCAAAATTAATGTAAATCTTCAGACAATCACAAATAAGTCTCATAATTTGTTATAAAATAATTCATACTTCGTTTACATCAGCACACTTTTATCCAATATAACAGTACAAGGTACCTCAAAATACCTTAAATCTTAATAAACTTCGCAAAATACATACTTACAAAGCTTTTTTCTTGTCAAAGGCAGGCACTATATTTATCATGTCTTATTGTTGAATAAATTCTTGTGTTAGACATTTAAATGATTTATGTCAAAATAATATTGGTGTTTATAAAGTTTTTTTATGTTGATTTTTGAAGAGAATCGAGATTGTTATAAACATCATGAACATAGTGCTTATCTTTGATTAATTATTCATATTTTAATTCAATCTGAAATATGAAAAAGAAGAAATTTTTTGGAGAAAAATCACATTACCTGTAAAAAATATTAACTGGTATTTTACCTGCACTAGTTAAATACAGGGGATATGAATATGCAAAGAAAATTTTTCATACTTATTTATGATAATAGTCAGAGGTATTTAATTTTTGTTTCTTTTCATTAATACTATAATGTTGATTATTTATTTATTTATTTTTTGCAGTACAAAACAAGAACAAGATAACCATGGAGATGATACTCTTAAACTGGCCAAGCACGAATTATTTCCTATGGAAAAAGTCCAACTTGGATGGTCGACTAGTGGGGATTGGTCAGTGGGGGCCGGTATGGTCAATATGGGCAATACTTGTTACTTGAATTCAACGTTACAAGCTCTCTTTCATGTTCCTTCATTAGTAAATTGGTTAATGTCTGATAAGGAACATATACAAGAATGTCATGATACAGGTACATCAACTAAAAGTGTATTTTACTTAATGATATTAATAAAATATTGTTTTTCATAGGTGTATGTATAATATGTGCAATGAGAAAAACTTTACAAGAGTCGCAGCAACGAAACGTGAATTCTATCAGACCCGTTTTAATTTATAACAAGTTACGGTTTGTTTGTCGGAACCTTATACCAGGCAGGCAAGAGGATGCGCATGAATTTTTAAGATACTTAATTGAAGCAATGGAAAAATCGTATTTGCAAAGATTCAAGGACCATAATAAATTTGATTCTAAAATTAAGGTAAGAATTTGACTTAAGGCAAATATTTTTTTCAGCTATTAATGATAAAAACCCTTATTTTTAGGAAACTACACCTTTAAATCAAATATTAGGCGGTTATTTGCGATCAGCTGTCAGATGTTTGAGATGTGGACACGTCAGTACCACTTTCCAACATTTCCAGGACCTTTTGCTGGACATTCGTAAGGCACAAACTGTCGGTGAAGCTTTGGAGTTATATTTTAGCAGAGAAAAACTCGATGATGACAGTTATCATTGTGAAGCCTGTCAGAAAAAGGTATAATAATAAAGTTGTGCTTTAAAACATTATCTAACGTTTGAAAATTGTTTCTAGGTACCAGCAAATAAGCAGTTTTCTATTGAGCGAGCACCAAAAGTTTTATGCATTCAGCTGAAGAGGTTTTCTGTTAGTAATAACAAGATAACAAAACATGTGGCCTTCAAGCATAGATTAAATTTAACTCATTACGTTAGACCAAGGTATGTAAATGTATTTCAAAAATTTTGAGCTTCTATGCTTCCGTCATGCGTCGTCTGTCGTTCTGTCACTCCAATCATGTTTAAGTATGAGCTGTCAGTTTTTAAATAAACCAATAAAATTACATAAAACTGACAACCCTGATGGATGCATGGAAACCTACACTTACTGTAGAGTTAGTTATTTATTTTTTATCTTTTTTCTACAAAATTGTCACCACTATGAACGTCTACACTAGTTCATTTCTGTGTCAAGGCAGGCATATTTTACTATACCAGGTGTGTCTCACTCAAGTGGCTCACCCCTATAACTTTTTTATTTTTTCAGAAAAAAAAAACGACTTTTAGTATGTTAGTATATGACAAAAATTAGGATTGATGACTTATTCAATTGTTTTTGGTCACTTCAGAAATAAAGTAAAAAAATACCGATGGTGTCATTTAAAAATCAAAAGTTGTAGTCATTTCCGGTGAAACAAGTAGTGACTAAAAACAATTGAATACGTCAATCAATCCTAATTTATGTCATACTAACATACCAAATCTGGTTTGTTTTTATCTGTAAAAATAAAAAAGTTATAGGGGTGAGCCACTTGAGTGAGATACAACTGGTATAGTAAAATGTGTCTGCCTTTTGAGACGCGTCCGGTATATTTTAATCAGAATATCTCTAAGAAATTTTTTATTTCTTGGAGACAATTTGGGTTTCCATAGAGAAATTTAATCATTATGATATTTAATTTAACTGTTAAAATTAAAATAATTAATATTAAATAATAATAAATTAGTCCTTATTCAAATTAACTCATAAAGATGAAAAGACGTTAGTTCTACTCTAGAATTATACAGGGTGAGTCTTAAATAAATGTAGATATTTTCAGGGCTGGTAGATCTTGATAAAAATATACGGAAACATATTTTCTCTTTACCGTTTTTCAAATAAGTTCAAAATAACCGAGATATTTTACTTTAAAAATTAAAAAAAATGATATTTCTGAGTCTTTTCTGGGTTTTCTTTCTTGTAAATTTAATCTACTACCTATGTTGCCATATTATGATTGATTATGATATTATGTTTTTTAACTTCAAATTAAAAAAAATTCCCAAAAATTTTTCAAAAATTCCAAATTTTAAGTTTTTTTTCTCGAAAAAAACATCATAGATGTGTTTCTGGGGTCAAAATATACTATCCTTAAATATATTTGCACTTAATTAAGACTCACCCTGTATATTAAAATAATTTTCAAAACCATATTCTAAATTTACAAATATTTCTTATTTGTGTAAACAAAAGCACTGAAAATAATAAATTTAATGCATTACTTTGGAGGATTTCGGATCATAGCTGCTCAAATAGTTAAATTCATATGTCATTAAAAAATAGCATAAGATGACAAAATCACAGTCTTGCTCTTATATTTGATATGGAAAGTGTCATTCATCTTGGAAATTTAATTTATTTGCGATTTTATAAGATTTTGGCATTTTTCAATAACAAAGGATATAAACAAATTTGTAGACAATTAAATTCTCTACAACTCTTGTATAAGTAATGTTGTAAAGAAAATATTTATTTTAATATTTAGTAAAATTCTTACTAAAATGATTGTGCTAAACCATCCTTTTTTTACTTTCAGACCGAACACACCTCTAATTTACCGCCTAGTCGCCCTGGTGACGCACATGGGCCCCACGGTGAGCTGCGGCCACTACACGGCCGTGGCCCAAGCCCCGTCCGGCAACTTCTACCAGTTCGACGACAGCATGGTCCGGTCCATATCGCACCAGACCGTGTTCAACACCAACGCCTACATCATGCTGTACGAGTTGGAGTCGCAGCCCCAAGCGCAGAAATCCGTCCCCGTAGCGCCGAAGACCAAAGTGAGCAGTACGATCACGGAGGCCGGGTCTACGTCGTCGGCCAATAGTTCGGCCGCGTCGTCGGCATCGGCAAAGAGTCCGTCGCCTATTCCGTTGGGTTATACGAACGGGAAGGCGAAGGTGCAGAGTCCGAACCCGAAGTCGTTCGGTTTTACGAGCGACAAGATGTACGGGCCTGAGTTGCCGCCGGAGAGAACAATTGGGTAAGTTAGAGTTGAGAGAAAGGAAATATAAAAATATTTGTATTTTTGACACGTGTCAAGAGTTTACAACTTAAAGGTGCGATTTCCTAGCGACGCACAGTGGGGTATTTGACACTGATAGTTGATCGAATTTTTTTTATGTAGACCTTATATAAATTATTGCTATTTTCAATTAAAGAGGAAATAATATGAACAAAATAAAGGATAATTCGTCGATTCTAAAAAAGAAAGAAAAATCACTGTTCCAGTGTTTCCACGGTCAGTGCCAGTAGTAATATCGCAACTACTACTACTAATGCTACGACTGATCCGCGAGCAATGCCCATACCACTAAAGCCGCTACTAATGCCAAATTGTGCTATACTGCTAATGGCACTAATGCGATCGCTTTGTACACAACAATGCCATCGCGGTTTACACCTCGCATTAGTATATCACTGATTGGCAAATTGGAGGAAACCAAGAATGTTTTTCTCATTTTATCAGCAAAATCGCAAAAAGTCGCAGTATTTTATTTTACTGTATGAAAGCCCAATGTTTACTAAGTAAAACGTATATAGACAATATGCTGAATTCTTCGAAATGCGCAACTAAATCTCTAAGTATAATAAAAATGTCACAAATTTAATCAAATTTTCTGAACGCCTAACTTTTAGTTGCAAAAAAAATCGTTAGTATAGAGAATATCAAAATAAATAATACGTTTATGTAGAATACATACCTGCAGCTTGCTGAGCCATTTTCAATCAAAACAATAATATAAACGTAAAAAGAGCACAAGAACAACAACAATTTATAATTTTTTACATAAAATTTAGCCATTTACCTCTTATCTGTGAGAAGTAACAACTTTGACGTTTCGTTGAAACAAATGAATGCAACTAAACACACTCATAGCAAAGCCATTCATGGCAGAGATGATTTAACTTATCATTTATCTTTTTTGGGAAATCTTAAACACATTTGCTTTTTCGAATTTCGATCACCTTTTTCATGCTAATACCCCACCGTGCGACGTCTGGCGCCCGTGTCTCACCGCACACTGGTTCGTTTTTAACAACATACGTGCCTAAAACCTGTATTTATATCAATAAAAAGTAGTGTATCACTTTATAGAGAAACAAACCAGTGCGCGGCTCGCTGGGAAATCAGACCTTAAGGTAGATTTTTATGGGTCCGATACCTGACTAGGATTTCCAATTTTTGGAATAGGCATCCCGTTTTGAAATCCCGGGATTAGAACCTATAATCCCGGAATCCCGATATTGACTATCAGAATGAGAAATTTAATCTAAAGAAATACTTAATAAAAATGCAGCTATATACCGGGTGCGTCTCAAAAATGGCTCACCTCTATCACTTTTTTTATTTTTTCAGATAAATAAACGAGATTTGATATGTTAGTATATGACATAAATTAGGATTGATTGATGTATTCAATTCTTTTTGGTCACTTCCTGTTTCAGCGGAAATCACTCTCGGTATTTTTTTTAGTTTATTCAATAGAAAATGACACTCTGAATAGAATGACATATCATATGTCAACCTTTGACATATTCGCTTTAAAAAACATCGTAATTTAAATTTCAATGTGCTGTGTTAAACAAAACACTAATTTTTAATCAAAGAGCCTTGGAAAAATAGATTTGACTATCTAATGTTTTTAGTGTCTTGTCCTGGCCGGTTAAAGGATGCCCAAATCGTATTTTTAATCATATCTCAATTTTTTCAAATGGAACAAGGGTGGCTCATTAGCATATTTGGAAAAAGTATTTTTTAACATATAATTTGATACCACACGCTTGGTATTTCGAGTCAAATTGTCGTTACGAATCGCATGTTGCAATTTCAAATAAACCATATTTGAAAATGTCAAAAGTTGACATATGATATGTCATTCTATTCAGAGTGTCATTTTCTATCGAATAAAGCAGAGAAATAGCGAGGATGCCATTTAAAAATCAAAAGTTGTAATCATTTCCGGTGAAACAGGAAGTAGCCGATAAAGAATTGAATACATCAGTCATTCCTAATTTATGTCATATATACTAACATACCAAATCTTGTTTTTTTATCTGAAAAAAATAAAAAAGTTATAGGGGTTAGCCACTTGAGACGCATCTGGTATATCAAAAAGAAAATGAGAAAAAAGCTTTATTAAAATAGACAAAACAAAGTAATTATTACAGTTGGGGGTTGGTACCTTTGGTGTTACATAGAACATTTATATTTAGTAAGTAAAAAATTCAATTCTTGTTGCAAAAAAAATAAAATTAGCAAACACGGAAATATAACTTTTAGATATTGTTGTTCTGACATATCATATGTCAAATAAAATATGATCTTTGAGAAACTAAAGTATATAAAGTTGAATCAATTTATATTACTTATAGGCATTTAAATTTTTCGAGATTTTTGGGATCCTGGGATTTAATATCGGGATTTCGGGTATAAACATGTACCGAGATACCGACCGGGTTGGAAACCCTATACCTGACGATAAAATATTAATTTTATTGGTTGATTTTGAACACTTTGGTTAAATTCCGTTTTATATCTTTTTTCTTATGCCTCCGTTTATCGGCTAATACGAATCGCATGTGATTGCTCAAAAAATCACAATACAATTCAAATTGTCATTTTTTGTTTTCATTTTCATTACCGGTTTTCGTGAGTTTTACTTATTAATCTTTAATATTTTTTTACTACTTTTTATTTTGTAAAATTAAATATGTATAACCTGCAAAGACGATAACCACTTCCTGATAGCGATACATGTCTCAAATTTTCAACAAAAAAAGTAACTACTGTATCGTAAATTATTAATTACCTTTTTATTCCAGTTCAACCGTAACCAACGGTAAACAAAAGGCTGTGAGCAGCTCGCGATCGACCGACGAGTCGAGCAGCGAGTCCAGCGAGGAGGAAGACACGTCCAAACGGGCTCCGGCGCCCCCCTCTCATTCCTTCTCCCTCAAAGAGGCGGACAGCTCGACCCTCAACGAAGAACCGCTCGATAGGGTTGCGTCTCCAAGAGTCTCGCCCAGCAGCTCCAATCTCTCCACGAGCGTATCGAGCTTGAGCAGCCCCGAAGTAGCTAGTGCTGCGCCTAGTCCTAAGAAAACTACCGTTACCTCTCCTTCGAAGAGTCTTGTTCCTTATGAAACGGGGGATACTAGCGGCAGCGAGGATTCCAACCATTCAGAATCGAATAAGGTAACTAGAAAATTATACTAATCTTTTGCAGTGCAGTAAAAATATACTTTGGATACACTCTTCAAATTATTAGCAGATAATCAGAACTAAATTTCATTATAAAAATAGCATTTAGACAGAGTGTTTCCTAAGTAGCTAACAATGTTAAGGGCGTGATTCCTTGTATGTTTTTAAGAAAAAAAGTATATACAGGGTGGTCCCAACTGTATTCCGGAAACTTCGGCAGCATATTCTGTACATAAAAATTAGTAAAAAAGTTCGTATAAATGTATGTTCAGCCCGAATATCTGTTGGTAATTTACTTATTTCGTTTTGAGCCATTTCTGGTATAAACAAATTATGAAATGTTCATTTTTTAACGACTCCTTTCATAGTGTTTTTATTCCATGAACAGACAGAATATGAGCATACCCCATTTTCTCTTTATATTTGTTTTGTATTTTGAGACTAATATAAGTTCCTAATCCACTGTAATTTGTTACATATTTTTGAATGTTTTATACATGTTTTGAACATTTTTTCCTTTTTCAGGTGACGACCAAAACGACGGCCGGCGAATGGCAAGTGACGTCATCGACGGACGTGACGTCGCAGAGAGAGAAAGAATGGTGCGAGCAGAAGAACAACAAAAATATGGAGATCTCGAACGGAAGCGTGGTCAGCGAGCTGTTCAAGATGTCTACTGGCGGTTACTCGGTTCCGATAACCACGTGGGAAGGCACAAGGTATCTAAAATAAGGCTTTAGAGGGATCAGTAATTAAGAAATCCGCACTATTTTACACGCCGACATATCTAGAGATGATAGACTGTGATTTTGTACAAACAAATTTGGGGGCGGGACAATGAACGACAAAGGCACCAATGAAACATGACATTACGTGATTCTTGATCTGTCTTCAGGCTTCTCGTTCCTTGAAAATATTGAATAAATAGAAGACTATAGACATAAATGTAAATAAATAATTTAAACAACATGCTTTAGTTTCAATGTTTTTTTTCTATCAGATATGATATTTTTTGATGAAATATTTATGCCTAAATTTTTAAGTAATAAACGTTGTTCCTATGCTTACTTACTTATCCAGTAGTGAGAAAAATATAAAATAGTACTAATAGTAAATTAACTTAATTTTCTATATCACTACTATTTACAAAATAATCAATTAATGTTCAACGTGTCAGGAAATATGTCGAGAGACGGCATCAAAAAACTGATAGAAAATACATATTTCCTGTGAATGAAAACACTGTCACTGTCAAGTATCCTCTCATTGGACAGACTAGTTTATATTACTCTTGTTAACAATGCTGAGCACAAATATAACAACATGTTTCCTAAGTCTAGACAAAACAATATAAATATACAAACACATGTGACAATGAAAGGGCAATGAAGCAAAAAAGCTAGGCAAAAATCTAATAAAAAGTTCTATACAAAAGAATATATAAATAAAAAGTAAACTTGCATATACAATTACCATGCAAACGAGGTTACCGTTTAAAGAACATAGAAGTAGAAGTCAAAGAATATAAATGTAAAATAGCATAAAATGTTTTCTACACGATAAAAACCAAAAAATACAATAGGGTACATATTTTATTTTATTTTATTTATTTTAAACTACTCCTTACAAACACCAAAAGAATAGTTGTTACAGGTAAGGGACTTAAATCTAAATAAATTAACTTAACAAAACTAAAACTACTGTACATACAATGAATGCAATAAATATAAAAAAAAAATTGTTGAATTGAAACTAAAATATACAAAGTAAAAAAAACAAAAATGTGCAGGTATAATATCATTTCACTGTGGTGAAGGAGGTATGATTTAGGATCTTATTTATTTCTTTTACATTTGTATGGAAAATATCTATATTAAACTGACTTAACACTGCATTACATTCGTCCAGGATGTGGCACATATAAGAACTGACCGTATATATATTAAATGTTTTATTTGAATTTGTAGGCTGATTTTTGGGACATGAAATTTGATATTATTTATTAGATCTGAATTATTGAGTTTATAATTATTTATTATGTTATATAATATTATTAAACATTGTACGATTCTTCGGGCGTGTAGATCCTGGAAGTTGAATGAGCTTAACATGTTTTTATATGATACCAGCAGGGGGAAAACTGGATAAACACCATTTTGTTTAAAATATAGATATCTTAGAAATTTTTTTTGGATTTTCTCAATCAGATCGCGATTGCATTCCGCTGTAGGAGTCCATATAATTGATGCATATTCTAAGTGAGGCCTGACTAAGCAATTGTACAGTTTAGACAACGTACTAATTTGTTTGAAATGCTTAGAGTTTCTAATGAGAAAACCCAGCATTTGATATGCTTTATTAACCATGTTTCGATAGTGTAGATTAAACCTTAAGTTAGATTCAAACGTTATACCCAGATCTTTGATAGCCCTACTTTCAGTCAGAGTTTCACTATGTATACGATATTCAAAATTTATCCTGGTTGATTTACGTGTAAAGCTCACAAATGAACATTTTTCGATGTTAAGAAACATTTTATTGTTTGTAAACCAAGTCATAACATTTGTCAAATCACTCTGAAGATCAATACAGTCACTCTCGGAGGCAACATTTTTGTAAATCTTGAAATCGTCCGCAAACAAAAGACACTCGGAGTGCATTATGCATTCCGGAAGATCATTCACAAAAAGAATAAACAGCAATGGCGAAATGTTGCTCCCTTGTGGAACTCCTGAAGTGACAGTAAATGCGTCCGATGTTTCGTTGCCTATTCTAACAGTACAGGTCCGATCTGTCAGATAGCTTTTGAGCAGCTCGAAAGCCTTTTTGGAAAGACCAAAATGTATAAGTTTGTTAAGTAGTAGTTTGTGGCTTACTTTGTCGAATGCTTTTTCAGCATCGGTATAGATGACATCTAATTGCTGCTTATTATCAATCGCAAGGGATGCTGAATTTGTGAAAACGCTTAAATTAGAAATAGTTGATCTATCTTTAAGGAATCCATGCTGTTCTTTCACAATGTGTTCATTGATTAAAAGTTGCAAATTCTCATGCAGTATGATTTCAAAAACTTTAGCAAGTGGACTAAGTAGATTAATAGGTCTGTAATTTTGAATTTTATCAATTCCGCCTTTTTTGTAAATTGGAACCACTATTGATTTTTTTAATGTATCGGGAAATACTCCCGTATTAAGAGCGCAATTGAATAAATGAGTCAAAGGCTTTGCTAGTATTTCGGCACATCCTTTAAAAATATAAGAAGGGATATTGTCAGTGCTAACGGACTTTTTCGATTTTAATTTCTTTATAGCTGCTAGAGTCATGTCATTTGTTATTTCAACGAAGTCAAAATTGCCCCAGAAATCACCGAAATCCGAATAGACATCGATTTCAGACGGTTCATAAACTCCTTTAAAGTAGTTTGCAAAAGCGTTAGCAATATCCAGACTTCCCTCGTAGGATGTATCGTTGTGAATAATATGTTCAGGTACCCCGTTGCCCTGCGATTTAGACTTTATAAACTTCCAAAACCCACTCGGATCGAGTGACGCATTGTGTTCAATGTTTTTATGATATTCCCGAAATTCAACCTTTGTTTGAGCTTTAATACTGGTCCTGAGATCTCGGAATTCAATAGAAAATTTATTTCTTCTGTGCATTTTGTTTTTAATATTTATCTTTTTTATAAGATCTTTAGAAAACCAATGCGGAAATTTTCGTTTGTGGAAGCTTTTAGAGGATATTTTCTTTGGAATTGTTTTATCGAGAACATTATAAAGTTTACAATATAATTCAGACATACAATCATTAGGATTAGATATGTTTAAGAGGGAGTCCCAATTAACATCCCTCATCATACTATGCAATAGCAAGTAGTTGCCTTTACTATAGTCATATGTATAGACAGAATTTATCTTTTTAACATCAGTTGTTTTGACACTAAAATCAATGGTAATGATGGATGATAATTGTCTTCCACAATCAATGAAGATACACATTTTGTACGACTAAATTATTTATATTACTTATCACTAGATCTAACCTACGACCGAGAAAGTTATAAACACTATTCACTTGAACTAAATTATTAAAACATAAGAAATGCATCAGGGACGAACTTATGTCACACATAACAGCAGGAAAAAAAGGTAGATTGAAATCGCCCGCTAATAATATAGGATCACCATCTTTCAATATGGAATCCAGATAATCAAAAATAGAAGTGTAAGTTGCGATATCGGAATTTGGCGGGGCATATAGACAGCACACGTAAAATACATAGTTATTGAACTTACATAGTATTAAAAGAAAATCACTGGCACCAAAACTTTGTGAACTAATCAGTTGAGTGCGGATATTTTTATTGGTAGCAATTAAAACCCCTCCACCTCTTCTATCTGAATTGCCGTTCTCTCGATCTCTGCGCATTACTATATACCGGTCATCAAAGAGTTCTGAGTCACGAAAACCATCAGTCAACCACGTTTCAGTTAACAGGACAACATCATAATCATCGGCGATTATACTAGTATAGAGTACATCGGTTTTAGTTCGTAAGCCACGTACATTTTGGTAGTAAATGTGTAGGTTCAGGTTACTTAATTGGTTTGTAGTTCTATTCTGGGGTAGCGGTTCCGAAAATTTTGTTGTATGTCGGTTGGTAGTGGGTTATCTAAATGAACTGCAGGCAGAGTTGGTCCCCTTAAGGCATCAGACGGCAGCGGAAATGTCTCCGGAAAAGTTGTAATTTTAGGACGCCAATTATCCTGTTTACCTCCCAGAAGCTTCTTCAGTCGTTCTTCGAAGGATAATTTGGCCTGTGGCATTTCCTCAGTATGCTCTAGATATTCTTTATATATAAAATTTGCCAAATTCTTTTTTAATCATGTAGTCTGCTTGCTGCCCCCGTAAAGAAAACATGTCATCTGGTGTAAACTGATCAAGCGATACAAAATTCCACCACGTTCCACAGCATGTATGCTCTTTTTAATAAGGAGGTTATACTCATAGACAGCCTGTTTTTGTTTATATGATGTCATACTTTGACATGCCCCTATAATAATTAGATTCGTATGTTTGTACAGGTCCATCATCCCTTTTACAGCTGAACTGGTCAGAGTCGTTCTTTTTCTTTAGCACTGCGTGGGTCTACGAACAACATGACATGGTCCTCCCTACCAAAAGCTTCACTAAGATTAGTACCCATTTTGGCCATGGTCCCAATGGTAAGGGGTTCTGCGGAGAACTGACAGTTGATATCACTTCCCGCGTTCCTTTTAAGTTTAAGAAGCTTCGGAATATTCTTCACGCTATAATAACTTCCCATCACCAGCAAGCGCCGGAACTGACAGGTTTTCTTTGGTAAAATTGGTACTAGATTCTTTGGTGAAACTGGTACCTGCATTGTCGTAATAGAGCAATCAGGAGTGAATCTAATAGAACTCTCCACAGCTGCTTCCAGAGCCAGTGGAGGAGTAGAGTCTTCCATTGTCATATATTGCAACATATATATTGCAACAACAAAGAAAGTCAACACAAATCCTTAATATACAGGGTGTCCCAGAAATAAGTGCAAGTATTTTAAGGGGTGGTAGATCTGATTAAAAGAAACATTTTTTCTCTTTGCCATTTTTCAAATAAGTCAAAAATAAACGAGTTATTTTACTTTGAAAATTTAAACAAAAAATGCTTTTTTGCTTAAATTTTGAGAAGATCTTTTCCTGATTTTCTTTCATGTAAATTTAATCTACTACCTGTGTTGCCATATTATCAAGAAATTATGTTTTTTAACTGAAAACTAAAAAAAATCCAAATTTTTTTTCAAAAAATTCAAAATTTTCAAATTTTTTTTTTCGCAAAAAAACTTCATAGGCGTTTTTCTGAGGCCGAAATATACTACCAGTTAAAATACTTGCACTTATATCTGGGACACCCTGTATAAAATAATTTATCTGGGACAACCTGTATAAAATAATATATAAAATCACTTAAAGACTCACCCCCTGAACGAATGGCTCTCTCTGTACTTTAATAACACCCCTTGGGCTTTATATGCTTACTTCAATATGTTAGATAATGAAAAAAGGATTGACCAGTAAGCAAAAAGAGCAATATTAAACTTCTTCCATTACTCCTTATAATTGTGAAATAATGCTTTTGAATTGGGTTATGTATCAATAAAGGTTTTATGGCAAGGCATAATAACATTTGAAATTAGCCTAAATTATGTTTCATAATGCAGGCTGTAAATAAGTTATCACTATCATCACATTTCCGTTGTACCGAAATAAAATAAAAATATTGCAATAATCCTTCACATTAAATGGAACATTTTCTATAGTACGGTATATAATCAGTATTGATGGTCCTTATACAGGATGGCCCATCGAAAACGTTCCGCAAGGCATAACGGCTAGGGTATTCTTTTTTTCAAAAAATCCAAAAACACGTCGATTTTGTTTGTGAGGGGGACAACTTTTGCCCCAAGAATAATTGCGAAATCTTCAACCCTCTGAGCGGGGGTGTCATCCCCCAACTTTTTTCAAACGGAAAGGGGGGTCAAGTGGCGCCGCAATGAAAAGAGTTCTATTCTCTATATTTCCCCGCCTTGTTTTTGAAAATCGGTCGAGTCATTGAGGAAATATGAAGGATTGAAATTTGAAAAGTTTATTTAAACATTTATCAGAGTAAATGATAAGGATAAATTCCTTCGACCAATTTGCTGTTTTTTCTTATTATTTCTAGATGTTTACGCATTTTTTCACTTGCCACAAGGTTGAACGATTAGGTGCGGTAGTTGCTATAGATAGCTGTTCTGTGTCTTGTGCGTTGAAGTTCTTCTCAATATTGTTAAACTGACCCACAATAGAATTTCCAAAAACACCAGCCCACCAGTGGCGGATACAGATGGGGGCCATGGGGACCGGGCCCCCCCTAAAATCTGAAAATTGGGTTAAATATTAGGCTTTTGGGTTAAAAATGGCGCCCTAAAAGGCATATTTTGCCTTATTTTTTATTTGGGCCCCCCCTAAAATAAATTTCTGTATCAGCCACTGCAGCCCACACGTTCAATTTCTGAGGGTTTTGTGTGTGCACCTCGTGAAAAACCCTGGGGTTGTCTTCAGCCCAGAACCGACAGTTGTGCCGATTAACTACACCGTTCAAAAAGAAAGTACACTCATCCAAAAAAAAACACATATTAAATAGGAAATTCTTATCATTCCCCACTCGTTCACTCATAGTTTCACAAAATTGCAAGCGACGATCAAAATCGTCTTCGTTGAGTTCTTGTACCAACTGAATTTTGTACAGGTGGAACTTGCGTTTTTTTAATATCCTTTGGACACTTGTACGATTCACGCCGGTCTCATTGGCTAATTTTCTTGTACTCAGCGTACTATTCATGGCAACTTGGCCCAATACGAATACCTCCATAGCTTTATTTACTACAGGATTTTCCCTCTGCCTCTTTTCATTCATAATGGAACCAGTTTCGCGAAATTTTGCTACTAACTCGCGAACAATTTTGCCATAAAGGTGGTTGTCAGGATGACGTTCAGTGAATATCTGCGTAACCCGATTGCCACATTCATTATTTTTAAAATAAAGTTCGATTATTTCCACTTTTTCTGCAAGTGAGTATACCACAATAATTGTTAAAAAATTTAACGATATTGAGAAGAACTTAAACGCATAAGTCACAGAACAGCTATCTAGCAATTACCGCACCTGATCGTTCAACCTTGTGGCAAGTGAAAAAATGCGTAAACATCTAGAAATAAAAAGAAAAAACAGCAAATTGGTCGAAGGAATGTATCCTTATCATTTACTCTGATAAATGTTTAAATAAACTTTTCAAATTTCAATCCTTCATATTTTCTCAATGACTCGACCGATTTTCAAAAACGAAGCCGGGAAGTATAGAGAATAAAAAGCCCTTTTCATTGAAAAGCCCATTTGAAAAAAATTGGGGGATGACACCCCCGCTTAGAGGGTTGAAGATTTTGCAATCATTTTTGGGGCAAGAGTTGTCCCCCTCACAAACAAAATCGACGTGTTTTTGGATTTTTTGAAAAAAAAATACCCTAGCCGTTATGCTTTGCGGAACGTTTTCGATGGGCCACCCTGTATATTGTGTACAGTGCCTTTACTTTAACTGTGAACATAGGCGTTAATCCCTGCCTTTGATTCCTGCCAGTGCCATAACCTTTTATGATCCATTGATAAATATTGACAGACCATACCGTTTTTTCACTAAAAAAAATAATAGACGTGAAAAAATATAGGGAAAATTATAAAGAGTATAAGAGAAATTGGCATCTCTCGGTCACTGTTTTTAACCACTGAAATCAAATATAAAATACCTTTGGATTGGGGGATTTTAGGATTCAGTATTATATTCTTCTCTTTTCTGATTAGGTCGCAGTTAGATAAAGAGGTAAACCAAGAGAAACGCGAAGAAAGAAAGCGTTCCTATGTGGATAGCACCGACCAAGGAAGGGTAAAGCACCAGAAAGTTAGTTCAAGTTATAGCAACGGAAAATCAAATCCAGGCTACAACCCTGTACAGGTAAATGAAACGTTTTTGTAGATGATTAAGTATGTATAAGACTATTAGGATTAATTAAACATATATACTATAATAGCACATTACTGGACTGTCATTCACACAAAACAATAAAATTAAATCAATTTTTGTGCCGCCATCTATTGTCCAACTAGAGTAGATTTACAAGGCGCAACATTTTAATTGCTATTTTTTCGCGCAAAAACTATTTTTTATGCGTAAAAACTATTTTTTACGCGTATAAAACTATTTGTTACACGTAAAAAAACTATTTCCTACATGTAAAAAACTATTTTTTACGCGCAAAAAAATATTTTTTTAATTTACTCTTTCAATATTTCAAACAACATTAGTCATGGCCGGAACAGCGATTTTTTAATAACAGGTACAAGCTGTTCTAGTTGCAAAAGATACCTGTTCCAGTTCCAAACTGTTCCAAAACGAAAATTAATACCGTACTTGCGTCATTCTGATTCGGTTGCTATTTCTCTTTTTAAATTTATATAAAAGAATATTTTTTGCTTAAATAATGAGAACTACTGGGGATTTTTCTGTTTTCTCTAAATTTAATCTACTATCTATGTTGCTATATTACCAAGATATAATGTTTTTTTAACTAAAAATAAAGAAAAAACTATCAAATTTTCGAAAAATATAAACTTTTCAAACACATGTTTTCTCGAAAAAAACTCATGAGAATCGAAATATACAACCCCTAAAAATATATGCACTTATTTAAGACCCACCCTGTATAAGCACTAATGAATAAATATAGATTTATAATTTTGTTATATACTTAAAGAGTAAATTCTTGGAAGAGTTTATTTTTTTTTTAATATCTACTATATTTATAATACAAAACAATAACACACACATAAAATACAGTGTTCTTACACTGTATTTTTCAAAAAAAACTATAATGCGATAATTATATTGCATTTGGCAACATCGCCAGCATTTTTTTATAATGAAAAATGTTCCTTACCTATTCTGTTTCTGTTTACATTAAAAAAATAAAATATTAAAAAAAATATATTATAAATTTAAAATTTATAATAAGAATTTAGTTGAATTTTAATTAAATATTTTAAATAACGGCAACAGCCACACTTGTTTTTTACGCCCTTGTATCCCGATAACAGATAACACCTGAACGGTCGCATCCGCTAGACTAGCGAAACATTGAGCGAATCCGATATATGACCTCGATTATCAACTCAAACCAGTTCTTTTTACTTAACTGTTTCAAACAGTTCCAAGTTCCTAACTGTTCCAAGCCCTAAACTGTTCCAGGTCGCAAACTGTTCCAAGTCTCAAACAGTTCCAAGTCCCTAACTGTTCCAAGCGCTAAACTGTTCCAAGCCCTAAATTGTTCCAGGTCGCAAACTGTTAAACTGTTCCAAGTCTCAAACTGTTCCAAGTCCCACTGTTCAGGTTGGGACTTGAAACAGTTTACGGCTTGGAACAGTTTAGCGCTTGGAACAGTTAGGGACTTGGAACTGTTTGGGACTTGGAACAGTTTGGGACTTGGAACAGTTAAGTAAAAAGAACTAGTTTCAGTTGAGAAACGAGGTAGTATATCGCTTTAGCGACGCGGTCGCTTGGCGTCTAATATTTACTATTTTATATATGTAAAATAGTAAAATACATATATAAAATAAAAACAATTTACATTCCTAGATATTAAAAACAAGCGGTTCCTTTGTCGGTATGTATACATTTTTTGCGCAGAGTTTTTTTTAATGTAAACAGAATAGGCGAAGAGAATTTCTTGCCATCAAAAAAACGTACTGGCGATGTTGCCAAATGCAATATATATATATAATTATCTAATTTTGAAAAATACACTATTAAGAATCTAGTATCACAAATATAGTAGATAACATAATTTAAACAATTCCAAGAATTTATTTCTTTAAGTATTTAATTTAAGTTGCAGTGTTTTGGTTGCGAAAAACAGCTGGAACACATGGAACTGGAACTGGATAGCACATAAACCTGTTCCAAGCCAGTTCCAAAACAAATCTGTTTCGAAAACAACAGATCCTGTTCCTAAGCGTCATCACTAAACTACATTTTTTCAAACATGTCCTTCAAATCCTTCTATTTAATAGCTGTTAAGGTGGCTACACACACTGCTGCAAGCTTGACAAGCATGCATGAACAATCTTTTTGTACAAGCCATGCACAATTTACCTTCGCCGCCACACGGTACATGCATGCTTGAACAAGCTTCAGTTTATGCCGCGAAACAGAAGAAGGAAGTCTGAAGAAAAAGGAGAAGGAAGTCCGCGAAAAAGAAGAAGGAATCCTGAAGGCATTTATCTTTTTAATAACGGCATCCTTATCGGCTTGGCTGTCAACTAATCTATATCTATTAAGTAAAATTTTGTATGCTGCATCCTTCTTCACCCTATCATGATATTCTGGTGATTTAATTCGCCAAAGACACGGCTGATTTTCGTATGCGCGAATAAAATCTTCCAATAATCCTCGATTGCTCCTTTTCAGATCGCTAGACATGATGGCGACGCGACGTACAGGTCATTTACGATCACGGACTGAACTAATTGTTTGTACAAGCTGAATACATGTGGTACACACGTTCCGTTTCGCTTGCGCAAGCATGGCTTGTCCAAGCTTGCATGATTCAAATTCAATGAATCATCAAGCACAATTAAACTGCTTGCGCAAATTTTCCCTACAGACGCTACAGTTTGCTTGTACAAAAAGACTATTCATGCATGCTTGTCAAGCTTGCAGTAGTGTGTGTAGCCACCTTTAGTAAGAAGTTTCACTTCAAATATGTACTCACACAATTTTTTTTATATGCGCATGCTTTGTAGAGTTCTAAAAAACTGAAGTAAGATTATGATTATCTTATTTTTAATATTAGGTTTGGGATATGTTTCATTTGTCATGCATTGTGTTCTTTTTAGGAATACCATAACATGAAGAACTGGTCAAATGGCAACGGACTGTCATCGGGCATGAATTTTCACCACAAGCCTTTCTACAACGGAGCCCGTCACAAGAAGAACTTCCACCACAAAAACAGTTTCCACAAGAACAACTATCGTTTCCGGTAATGCCCGCACAACCGAAAATTGTTATTTTCCATTTTCTAGTGGCAATATCCGGGTAAACCTTTCTTTCCTTTTGCGTATTTTTATTTCCACAACACCTAGTTAGATAGTGAAAAAAAATTAAACAATTTAGTATTGTTTACGTGCACTGATGTTAACTGTAAAAAACTGATGTTTGTTCAGTGAACAGTAAATAATCTAATGAAATAATGATAAATGAAGGAAAAGAATATAATGGTGCCTCCGGTATGGAAAATTGCATATACAGTGATCAAAAAAATCTTAAAAGAATGGCTATTGTTACGCCTATTGTGTATAATATTGTATATATATATAGCCCCATGTAGAAAAGCTATTATGTGACATGTGAAAACAAAAATACGAGCTAAGTAGAAAAAATTGTAGCAACATTGTCCGATTGTCTATAAATCTAATTCGGTACATACCAGTTTCATATCTTAAAAAAAGTGACAAATGAACTTTATACAAAAAAAATCATATACAGGGGCGTTTACTTTTCAGTTAAATTCTACTAATATAAAGTGGACCACTCTGTATATGTGATGTAGTCAAGTTTTGGAATGTTGTCATATTAACAAAATTAACGTAAATAAGAATTACAGCGAACTTTGTCAAACTGTCAACCTTCAAAACACCCTTCTTTATAAAGACTTTTTGGACATACTGTATCAAACCTATTTTATGTTATAAGGACACCTTTATTTTTGTTTTGATTATATTAATGATATAATTATATCTTAATATTTTCATTTGTTGTTTTTAATTATTTTGACATACATTTTTAAACATATTCTGTACATAGATTACAGGGTTGTATGAAACTGGTATGTCTAATTATATTTACCATATGATCAAGTATAAAACAGGACCAGAGTAGGCTTGGGAATGGAAATCGCTGTCATTATATTAAAATAATATGGTAAATATTATCGATTTTTATTTCCAAGCCAACTTGACGCCGTTTTTGTTTTTCAGTGGTACGGTATATTCCTGTAACGTTCTTGAACCAAGAACGAGTACTATAGATAACATAGACCTCAAGGATTATTTCTGACGTGGATATAATCCTGTGCTCAAAGAAACTGCTAAATGTAAAATAGGCATTTACACCTACAGATGAGTTCGAGTTCATTTTTAATATGTAATGGTATAATGCCATTTTTATTTACGAATATGTGCTTTCGACTTCATGTACAGTTTATAAACTTGTGTCTATCACTTAAAATAAATGTTTTTTTAAGGAGATTCTGTCTTTTATATTTGCATCCTTAATAGTAGAAATATACAGGGTATCTGAATGAAAAGGCGGAAAACTTTAAGGTGTTGATTCCTTGGTTAAAATAGAGTAGTTAGTCAGAGTTGGCGCAGTTTAATAAGGAGCCAGGGGCGCTATTCTGTACAATCGTCGGTATCGTTAAGTTACCGACAGCTATCAGTACGTTTGGCCAATGAGCGTCATGTTGATTGTTGTTGTCATAGTTTTAGCTGTCATTAATAGGACATATAGCAAATTTGTAGAAGTGCACCGACTGTCCCTAGCGACTCATGGGAACACTATGAGATCTGGTAATAATAGTAATAAAAACATCACCGATGAAGCTGTGGGGAAACCCCCTAGCAACACTGGGAACAGTAACAATGAAAGTTCCAAGGGGCCAAACCCAAAGAGAACTACAGGAGAGGTGGCTGACACTTGCGTGAGACCATCCTCCGCAAGTGGCATACAAGTTACCACCTCCTCCAAGGGTCGGGAGCCTCCTACCTCTAAACCCAACAGGCGACACAAGCTACCGTTTCGTCTACCCGGCCTGGGTCGTAGCTCCTCGACTGTGAAGGGCACGGGTCTCCGTAGGAAGTCCTGGGACTGTATGATGAGTTATAACTCAAGAAAGGGGGACAAAATAGATCTCTAAGGTCGCAGAGATTAACCCCCCTCCCACTTATTCTAAATTCTAATTCTAATGTTCCTTGGTAAAAATAGTGTAGTTTGTTAGAGTTGGCGCAATTTAAGGAGCCAGGAGCGTCATCAGTGATGCGATTGTATAGGCTTGGTGCATTTCAGTTGATTTTTAAGATTCCGACAGCAGCGCTCAATATGGCAGAAATAAGAAGTACTCACCAACTACCCGATCATGTCAATCGCATTGAAATATATTAAAATCGTATATTTGTCATGATATTTAAGCATTTTAGTTTTTACTAATGCAGTTATTGAAACTATAAAACTCAGGTACGAGGTTTGTGTGACTTTTTCGGGTAGTTAAAATTAAGTGAAAAAGAATCCGAACTGAACGTCGCATTGTGTTGTGACCATCTCAAATAGCAATAAATTTGCCGAAAAATGTTTACACCTGAGGTTCACACGTAAAGGAGGGCGTAATTAGGTGATTGTTAGGTGCAATAACATTCAATAACTGATATTAAACTCTCCCGAAACCAACATTTTATAGCTTCACAGCTTCTCACACGGATATGATCAAAAGCAAAAATGGATTGAAGCAGTTCGACGAAACAAGTGAGTAAACAATGTGCCCATTACACAATCAAAAAATGAAATAAGCATATACTATGAGAGGATAAAATACAGCGTTGTTCACCACATACGACACGGAGTATTGTAGCTAAACGATTAGATTTTTTCAAATTCTAAGTTTTGGGTTCGTTGAAGGACTATTAGAGTTACAATTTAAAAATATTTTTACAGAATACAGAGTGTCCCAAATAAATAAAAAATATCAAAGTTGTATTTTTTTAAATGGAACACCCTGTAGGTTATTACATTTTTAGTTTCTATGATTAAAATGAAGGTAAATTTGATTAAGGTTTACCCCACTTTAATTTGACTGTTTTTGAAATATTTACGTTTTTGTCAAAATACAGTAATAATTTTAATACTTCATTTCTCTAGTCGTATTTAAGTTTTTAAAAGCAAATATTGTACTGAAGTATTTCTATCTACTAAATTTTGTGTTGCAATAATAAAAATTATACTACCTTATACAGAGTGTCCAAAAAAATATTTTAAGTAATTACTAGCTTTAAACGGCAATAACTTGTTTAATTTAAATGGAACACCCTGTATATTTTCTGAGAATCAGATGCACAATTTCATTGTCTATCAAATTGTATTATACCATTTTCTACCTATCACTTCAAGTTTTCGTAGAAAATGCATTTTCTTATAATTTAGACCTCATTTATTATATACCCATGGAATATTGCCATTTTAGATTATTTTTATAGATGTAACAAATTTTTAAAGAGTATAGATGCTAATATTGTCCATATAGTTCGTTTATTTTATTAAAAAATAAAAAAAAACTGTTTAAATATGTGTTAAATAGGACCAATTAATATGATTCCAGTATTCAAATTACATTAATTGACTGTTTGCGTTAATTAAGAATAATTGCTCGAAATACTAAAAAATTGAATTTTCTATGTGTACTAGACAGTGTGGTAAAAAGCACAGGTAAAAAGTAACACGACACACAACCTTAAAAATTTTATTTCATTTTTTGACGAATGCTTATTTATAACAGGGACGTTCATTTTCATAACTTATTATATTGATTTCTGATTCAAATCCACATTTATTTAAAACAATTTATTAACTAACACAATTAAGTACGTAATTAATTAATATTTAGGCGGAAATAATGGTGGTATATTTAATTAATTATATATTTTTTATAAAGATTTAAATAGTTTTTTTTGTATACAAATGAGCTAGTAATATTATCGTTTTTAGCATCTGAATATTTTGTACATTTATTGCAAGCTTTAAAAACAATCTCAAATCAAAAATGTCAATAGCTTTGTTCGGGCAGGTTCGGGTTCTTATTATTACCGATTCTGAACTGTCCTAGAACTCTGCCGCGCATGCGCTAATGAAATAATTTCTCCCTATTTCCTTCTGCGCATTCGTATCACAGTTCTAGGACGGTTCAGAATCAGTAATAAGAATAACCCGAACTAAGCTATTATTCCATGGGTATATTGATAAATGAGGTCTAAATTATAAAAAAATGTATTTTCTTCGAAAACTTGAAGGGATAGCTGGAGATAGGTAAAAAATGCTATGATACAATTTGATAGACAATTAAATTGTGCATCTGATTCTCCTAAAATATACAGCGTGTTCCGTTTAAATTAAACAAGTTATTGCCGTTTAAAGCTAGAAATTATTTAAAATAATTTTTTAAACGCTCTGTATGAGCTAATATTATTTTTATTATTGCAACACAATAACCGATTAATAAATAAACTTCTTATGAAGCCTTAAAATTTTTACTGCAATTTCACAAAATTGAAAATATTTCAAAAACGGTAAGGTTTAAGTGTGATAAACCTTAATTAAATTTACCTTTATTTCAATCGTAGAAACTAAAAATGTAATAATATAGAGGGTGTTCCATTTCAAAAAATACAACTTTAATATTTTTTATTTATTTGGGACAAAATATTTTTTATTTATTTGGTTTTCAAAACTTACAATTTGTAAAAATCTAATCGTTTAGCTACAATACTCCGTGTCGTATGTGGTGAACAACCCTGTATAGTTTGCAATATTAATGGTATACTTTTTTTATGAACATCTTCTAAAATTATTATAATTGTGTCCCTTTAAATTTATTAGCTTGAATATTGGCTTGAATAATAAATAAATTATAATACAAGTTAGACCTTCTGAAAATACCAAAGCGAAGAGAAGCGCTACCCAGTTTTTTATTCTATGCGCCACCCTGTATAGCCGAGGAATCCCAGAAATTGATTTATTTTTATCACAAAATATTGAGGTTATGTTTAAACGTCAAAACACGTAAACATTCATTAAAGGCTGTTAAAGGATAAAATTGTATTTAAACAATATTTAATTTAAATATGAATGTTATATCGGCAGTTAAGGCTTATATAGTCAAAATGACTGAAGAAAGTGAACCCGGTATGAAAGTTTTACTGATGGATAAAGAAACTACGAGCATAGTCAGTATGGTTTATGGCCAAAGCGAGATTCAACAAAAAGAGGTGTTTCTCTTAGAAAGAATAGACTCTCCTAATTACTCTAATTCCACAGGCTTGAGGTACTTGAAGTGTCTCGTTTTCTTGCGCCCCACACAACAGAATATTGAGTTGCTCTGTACAGAATTACGGAACCCAAAATATGGAGCTTACTATATTTATTTCTCTAATATTGTTGCTAAGGCTGATATTAAAATACTGGCCGAAAACGACGAACAAGAAGTTGTTAAAGAAGTTCAAGAACTCTACATGGATTATCTAGCTGTAAATCCCCATTTGTTTTCAATGGGTATTCCGATGTGTTTGAATGCGATAAATACAACAGAAATAACTTGGAACCATGCAGCTTTACAGAGAACTATACAAGGCTTAGTTTCTGTCCTTTTGTCTGTTAAAAAATCTCCCATTATTCGGTAATATTAATTTATTTTTTGTTTAAACAGCTGTGAAGACACAGAAGTATTTTTTTAGATATCAAGCTAACTCAAAATTAGCTAAAGACTTGGGAAACCGTGTTGATGAAACAATGAATAAAGAATCGTCCTTATTTGCTTTTGACCAAAGTGGACATAGTCTTTTACTTATATTGGATAGGCGAGATGATCCAATAACACCCCTTTTAAATCAGTGGACGTATCAAGCGATGGTGCATGAATTGTTAACAATTAATAATAACAGAGTAAGCCTGTCTGGTACTCCAGGTACAAATTTTTAGTTTTACTTGTGAGATTCTGTTAAATATGAGTTTTTTAGGAGTGTCTAAGGAGTTGTCAGAAGTTGTTCTCTCAGCTGAACAGGATGACTTTTACAAAGATAATATAGTAAAGAACTATGGCGAAATCGGTCAGAATATCAAGGAACTTATGGACAAATTTCAGGCAAAAGCAAAAAGTCATCAAAAAATCGAAAGTATAGCAGATATGAAGAACTTTGTCGAGTCCTATCCCCAGTTTAAAAAACTGTCTGGAAACGTAACCAAACACGTCACGGTAGTAGGCGAGTTGAGCACTAGAGTGAACAAGTACCATTTGCTAGAGGTCTCGGAGGTTGAACAAGAAATTAGTTCGCAAAACGACCATTCAGGTCACTTGTCTAGCATCAAAAAACTGATTCATAATGATAAAATCAGACACACCGACGCGGCCAAACTTGTGATGCTTTACGCCTTGAGATACCAAAACCACAGTAACAATGAGATCCCTGGTCTTATAGATTTGTTAGAAAAAAGAGGAGTGTCAGATAAACTTATAAAAGACATAATTTACCTTCTAGAGTACGCAGGTTCACACGCCAGGCAAAGTAATCTATTCAACGTTGAAAATGCCGTTAAAATAACCAAAAGGTTTTTCAAAGGTTTGAGCGGTGTTGATAATGTTTTTACACAGCACAAACCTTTACTACACGATACACTCGAAGATCTTATTAAAGGGAGACTAAGAGATAATTTGTACCCTATCGTCGGAAATCATTCTAGCGGTATCAGAGCGCTGGATATAATAATATTTATTATAGGAGGGGCTACGTATGAAGAAAGCCTGGCAGTTCATAATTTGAACAGCAGTTATCCTAGTTTTAATATTGTTTTAGGAGGTACAAATATTCACAATTCTAGCAGTTTTCTGGATGAAATCGAAAATGCCTTTAGGAACGTTGATATGACGAAGAGAAGGCATACGAGGCATATTCGAAACGTTAAATTTGATTTCAAATAGTATAGTTTATAGATAGATTTTACCCCCGTATATGTATATAAAATTATTGTTTAATATTTATATTATTTTATGTTGTGTTTATCAGATAATAAAAATATTACTGGAGCAGTGAAAATGTCTGGCTTTTGATTAATTGTAATTAGTTTAATCATTCAGAACCTCGTAATTAGTGGAATAAATTAGTGGTTTCAATTACACTTTATACTTTTTAGTTTAAAATCATTCATAATATTGAAAAAAACGTATAAAGTTTGATAAAGCTTCATTCGGAACCTCGTAATTAGTGGTTTCAATTAGCGTAAAGTTTGTTCCTCTATTTTCAATACTAGCATTCAGAACGTCAAAATTAGTGGTAGTAATTTTTAATTAGTAGAAAAAGATAACAAGCTTTTAACTTTTCCACTAATTATACCACCAATTTATTCCACTATTTGCGAGGTTCGGAATGAAGCTTTGCTTTGAGATGTACAGGGTGTGTCAGAACTAAGATCCATACCAAAGTTATATTTTTTCTTATGGAACACACACACACCCGGTATTTTATTGCATTTTAGGATTCTTGGGCATAAAATAAGAAATTTATTATAGGGGTTTAATATGTTTAAAAGTTTTAGTTTTTGAGATATTTAAATATATTTAAATATGCATGCTATAATAAAAAAGTTTATCAACACCTTGTAGCTAGAGAAATAAACTTTACTAAACAATTTGATTGCTTCCTTAAATGTATACAGGGGAATCAAAAATTGCTGGTCTATTTTAAATATTTATTTTACATAAAAACTTCGTTATTTCAAATGAAACACTATGTATTTTTTTAAATAAGTCAAAGCAGATTTAAATGCTCTTTCAAACTATATTAGGGTTTCCTATACCTATCTGGCTCACATTTTGAATAAAAAGCGATTTTTTAATAAAATTGTAATCAAGATGGCTGGTGTCCATGGCAATTTTCAAGTGACACTTAGTAGCTATTTTCAAAATCGACAATAGTTTATGGTCTTTGTTTAAATTTATAACAGGTTATTTTTATTTAATTTACCTACAGTAAGGTTAATAAGTATTACATTATCAAGAGAAATGAAGCAGTATTTGCTTGCGGAAGGAATGGATATGTTACTAGTGATTTTAATTTGTGAGGACAATTGCTTATTGGCCTGAAGGGTTTAGGCTCAAAAATATCCAAATACGAATTTTCTCAACAAGCGTTCCTTTGAAAAACTACTTTTCTTTTTTCGCAGTCCTGATAGTGTGGTATACGAAAAACCTATCAGGCAGAAACCTGTCGTTAGAGGTGAAGAAAATAAATTTGTCTTAATTGGTTCTTTTATAGAAAATCCAATATATCTACAACTCATCGTAATATAAATCAAAGAACTACTTCTTTATTTTTCCTGATAAAATAATAAATACTTACTTATTAAACTATTGTAAGTAAATTAAATAAAAATAAACTGTTATAAATTTAAATAAAGTCCAATAAACTAATTTTCATTTTGAAAATAGCTACTGTCACTAGCAAATTGCCATAGCGATACTAGCCATCTTGAGTACAATTTTATTGAAAAATCGCTTTTTATTCAAAATCTGAGCCAGATAGGTATAGGAAATCCTAATATAGTTTGAAAGAGCATTTAAATCTGCTTCGATTTATTTAAAAAAATACAGAGTGTTGCATTTGAAATAACGAAGTTTTTATGCAAAATAAATATTTAAAATAGACCAGCAATTTTTGATACCCCTGTATACATTTAAGGAAGCAATATTTTTTTTAGTAAAGTTTATTTCTCGGGCTTCAAAGTCAGCACAAGAATTAACGCTGAAAAGTAATGTACAAGGTGTTCACAAACTTTTTTATTATAGCATGCATATTTAAATATCTTTAAATATCTCATCAACCTAACCTATGGTATGGATCTCAGTTCTGACACATCCTGTACATTTGAAAATAATTTTAAATTATGCACATTGCCTCTCTACATACACCCATAAAAAATGTTGTTTCTACATCTTTCCGTTTTCGTATAATCAACTGAGGCGAATGAGGTGCGCCACCCTGTATATCAGGGTAGGCAAAAAAGTTTCCGAATTCAAAATGATATAAAACGTTTTTCAAGGACGTCAGTGTATAAAAAAAATCAAACTTTCGCGATCTAAATTTTAAAGGAACAAAAAAAACTTCTAAAAGTTAAATAAAATTAAACATATATTCATAAAATAACAATACTCGCACAATACATATATAAGATTTAAATAAAATATATATCGAACAAGAAATAGTACGTAAAAAAAAACGTTTGTATAAAGATAGCATAAACAAAATTTTGTCATTTCTCCTTTTTTAAAAAATTAGCAAAGGTCTTCGTGTAAAATATAAAATTTTCCTGTAAAACTCTACCTGAAAATTACAAATCTTGTTCCAATTTGTACAATTTCTTCAATAGCTAAAAACCAATAAAAAGAATAACTGTATAGGAAAATATGCCTTAAAACAAAAAACAAAAAAATTACATAAAATTTCTCGAAAAAGTGCGGGCATATATGCATCCGTCAAAAATGACAGGTGACAGGTAACACCACATCACGAGTCTAACGGAACGACGGACGCCGCATGACGGATGCATATAAACCCACCTTAAGAGTTACCATTTTCATGCCAATTTAAGACTATTGCTTACTGGCTATACATCAACAAAAAGACGAAATTTTTAACACATTTGAGTATTGTTTCGGTCTTATCACACGGTGTATGGCAAAAAGATATATCTTTGGTCTTGTTAATTTTAAAATGCAATAAAAAAACACTTAGTGATATTAAAATATAACATTTTTACGGGAGCACGGCATTTTCCAAATTTGTAAGTATTTTAACAAATATAAAATGCAATACCTAGTTTAATCAAACGACTACCTAACTGCGTTTTAGCAAAGGTTTTAGTGTAATATAAGGTTAAGTGTATTGTGAATAGTATAGAGTGTGTTCAAGAAAAATTTGGATACATCAAAAAAAGTTTATTTCAAAGTTCAAAATTTTCAGAATAAATAATATTCTTTTCTTCGTTCTTCTCATATTCAAGCTAATTTAAAGATTATCAGATTGATTTAAATTCTTAGAATTCATAATTAAATAGTTCTTTTAGTTATTAATATACCACATGATCGAACAAATCGGCGTCAAGTTGACTTGGAAATGACGATCGATGCCATTCGCCATATGGTTTCACATACAAAATGAAAGTGATTTTGCATTTCCAAGCTAACTATGACGCCGTTTTTTTAGATCATGTTGTATTTATTAAAAAGTAGTGGGAGAGAAAAAAAGTCAAAAAAGTTTTAAAATAATTAGTTTCAGTTACAGCAATATCAAAAGTTGAAACGAGGAAAACTTTTGGGGGAAGAACTGTAGCGAATTGAAAGTAATTTCAAACAAATTTAAAAAAAAAATAAGCATACAAAGACCTATTATGACACTTTAACTGTCAAAGTTGTTAAAGTGACACATTTGGTAGTAAGTGTCATAATAAGTTGAAAGTTGTCGAAGTAACTGTGAATACGATTCTTTTATTTTAAAACGAATTTCGCGTTGATATTTTTGTATAAATATATAATCGTATATAAATTTTGTTTTATATATTTTCACAATGTGTTTAACTTTCTTGAACACCATGTGTAATCCGGTGATTTTGCATATTTATATAATTATGAATAATTAATATTCATACAATTTTATGTTTCCCATATTTTTACAAAAAGTGTATAAAATACTATTTAAAATGATGAAAATATATACGCTGGAATATTATTTTTCAGTGACGCCCTCTATTGCTTATCAGGTTAATTGTTTATAAGTGACATCAGCATTTTTAGCACCTATTTAAACTAGTACAAATAAAATGAAATTTAATTTACTGTTTATTTCTTAAATGTATCCCCAATGCATGGTTAGAGTTATACAGGGTGTGCGTTAATTGACATCCTAATATTAACTGGCTGATTCTTGAGTATAACTTAAGAAAAAAAGCTTCATAAGATGTTCTATACATCTTATTTTTTGAGATATGGGGTGGTAATTTTTTTTATAAAAAAAAACTTTTTCTGATCTGAGATCTGATGTTATAAATATGTTTGTGAAATTTGATACACATATTCTATCATAAAAATGCAATTTTGATGTTTAAAAAAATGTTGATTTGTGTTATTCTTAATTTCCATCAAGGCGAAGCAGAAACAATTTCCACACAACAGTGACCGCATCAAATTTTTAGCGATTTGACCGTAAGTAAAATGACTAATTTTTTAAAGCAAAAACTATCCTTTGGACGAAAAAAATTAAGAGAATAAAATTGTTTAGAAATGAATGGCGATTTTGGAAATAACGTTTGTTAAAAGAAGTCAGTGGCGTACCATTTTCCCCTCAAAAATATTCAATGTAAAACCCATTTAAGGACGCCACTTATTAAAATAAATTAAAAAATTGCACATCAAAAAATGCATAGAATTATATGATGCATATACTACAATATGACCGAAAAAAAAACGGCGTCAGCGATGGCTGTGAAATAAGTTCGCTGTCATTTTATATATAAAATTATACAGGGTGGTCCGAATTGTATTCCGGAAACTTCAGCAGCATATTCTGCAGATAAAAATAAGTAAAAAAGTTCGTATAAATGTATGCCTTAAAATGCTTAGTTTCGGAGATACAGGGTGTAGAAGTTTCATTTTTATTTCGATTTTTTCCAAATAATTTTTGAAGTAACGTCAATATTTGGATGAAAATTGGTATCTGGGAGTTTTGTGACACGAGGAATTTGATTTTGATGTCAAAATTACTCCTATTTGTAGGGGGCGCCACCTACATGTATTTTAACTGTTATGAAGAGTAATAACTTTTCGACCGTACTTGTATAAGTCTACTGACTAAAAAAATATACATTTCCATGACTTTTTATGTAAGAAATGTCTCGGTAAAAATCGCTACGAGCAGCCGTTCTCAAGATATTTAGAATGGAAATATTCAATACATGTCATTATTGACAAAAAATAAGCACACGTTGAGTATAGTTATTTGAGTGAAATAATAAATTTTTATTTTTTTAAATTAATCATAAGTTTTTCTGCGAAAAAATAATGACTAAACAGTTTCTTTGGAACTTTTGACAAAAAAAGATTTCAAATTTGTGATTTCAGTCAGATTAATTTATGTCAATGATGACAGGTATTGATAATTTCGATTCCAAATATCTCGAGAACCATTACTCATAGCGATTTTTACCAACAGACCTTTTTTATTTAAAAAAAGTCGTAAATGTATATTTTTTTACTCACTAGTTTTATACAGGTACCGACGAAAAGTTATTACTCTTCAAAACAGTTAAAACACATATAAGTGGCGCCACCTACAAATGGGAGTCATATTGACATCAAAATAAAATTTTTCATGTCCAAAAACACCCATCCACCAATTTTCATCCAAATATTGACGTTACTTCAGAAATTATTTAGAAAAAATCGAAATAAAAATGAAACTTCTACACCCTGTATCTCCGAAACTAAGCATTTTAGGGCATACATTTATACGAACTTTTCTACTTATTTTTATCTGCAGAATATGCTGCCGAAGTTTCCGGAATACAGTTCGGACCACCCTGTATAGGGAATGTCACTGATCGTCATTTCCAAGTCAACTGGACGCCGTTTTTTTTTTCGATCATACGGTATATAGTTTGATGCATAGTATCATTGTATCAGAGTCATTACGAAATATGGTTTTTTTGAAAATTTTACTAATCTGTATTTCAAAAGTTAAAATGTTTAGAACTTCTTAGAGTAGGTCGTCATTAAGGAACATCCTGTATAGATGTATTTTGATTTTAAAAATAATTAAGTTTAAATACAGCAAAAACACCGGATTATCATTCATATTTCTGTAGTTGGGGAGTAATAGGTAACTAAACCAGTATTTTTAACATTTTTTACACTGCAATATAGTAAATATTAAAAGTAATATTTAATATTAGTGTAAAACGCTTCGTTTTCAAAATCCTTGCAAACAAAATAAACGAAATAAGCTATATAACAGTATCAGTACCACCATTGAGACATTTGTATATGATGTATACCCTTCCCTCTTATATTAAATCTAAATTGTTTAAAGCTCCCCAAATTTGGTTCTTGATACTAACCAACTATCACAAACAACCAAAGAATTCAAGTGTATATATACATTGATACCTGACGTTCTGCACACAGATACATCATCACCCACAATATGCCTTTTTAAAGAAAAGAAAAAAGTAGTTTTAAAAAATTACACTTCCAAACTGTTCGCGTTCAACTCGTTCACCAACTTCACTTCCTTTTCCTCTTTTTGTTTGTTTCGCTCTTGGAACTGTTGCCGGTTCCTTATTATCCGCTCCACGATTCTGTCCGTTGTCATTTCGTTTCCTGCAAGAAAATTTAGGTATTTTGAAAAAAAAAATATATTATTTTTTATTTATACGAAAATAAATGGTTTTTGTTCATCATTTTCCCAGTATTATTGTTAGGATTCAGTGACGGTTCTTGGTAAACAAATTATGGTTGGCTCATGCTTCCGAGTATTAGTCCTAACCTTAAAGTGCTTGCACACACACTGGCTAAATAGATGGCGGTGTTGAAATCAATTGCAATAAAAATAAATTAGCTCCTTGACATACAGGGTGTCCCAGGCTGAGCGTGCGTTAGAAGTTTAGAACCACAATATCTAGATCGGAGATTTTTTGCACATCATTATTTTTCAACGAGATCTATTGATTAAAAATATTTTCAATATGGCGGCATTTCCGGAAATACTGGAAGTTGACAGCAACTTTCTTATTTTAAATGGGTGTCCCCATTTTTTATTACATACTTAAATTCTCTGTAAAATTCTACGAGTTATGATGTAAAACACTCTATACCTTACATTAACAGCTTTTGAGAAAAAAAATATTTAAAATTTTTGAACGAAAAAAAATACCTGTCAAAAAAAATTGTATAGCCTAAAAGTCAAATTTAGTGATTACCACAGCCATTGTGACATAAAGAGAAGACATGTGGCTATCTATTTCAAAAATTAAATTGTTCAAATGTCATATAATAATGGCGGTAGGTGTCATGGAATTGAGCGATTAAAAAATTATCATACATATTTTTTTTCAAATGGAAACTCACTTTTTTTATTTCACTAGTGAAAAGGTTTTTTAATTCGTTACTTTTTGATTATACATGTTCCTATACCTAAAATAAATCGTTTTTAAGATATTTAAGATTTAATTTGATAAACGTATATTGAATGTATATATAATATGTTGAAAACGTATATTTTTCTTAATTTTAACTAGCTTCCTTTGACATTAAGTGTCAAACGGTCAGACAATTTATTTCCATCTGTCAGAACACGAATTATTTGAATTTCATATATTATAAATACTGCCTGGTTAAGAGTTTAAAAATTGTATTTATAAAAATATATCTCGTATTTTTCTCGCTCTTTAGTGATGTAAAGGATGATTCACGGTACACCGGACCGTACCCGAGCCGGGCACGTTCCGTGAAGTAGACACCGAGCCACGTCCGGGCCTTCAATATATGCAACACCGGGTGGACAACGGGGATCATGTCCGTGCCGATTATATTCTAGAAAACAGTGTTGCCGCAGTGGTACATTTGTACCAAATTTGATACTTTTAGTTCTATTTGGTACAGTGGTACTACATTTTCAAATCCAGGATGATTCGGTATAATAATTATTTCCCACGCGCACCAAAAATGAATATATATTTAATAATTATCGTCGTTGATATTGCATTAAACGCGCTTACCGATACCATTCGGAGACAATCCGCATTAATTAACGACGTATTATAAACGTTGTAATGTCTATAGGGTTGCATATATTAAATAACCCGAAGAAAAAAACTTAAAAATTTTCTGTTTCTAACATGCTTCTATATTTGCGTTTTTTTTAATAAAATTTAAGTTTTCCAAGTATCGTGTGTAGTATTAGAATTACTTACATTTCTTCAACCTATACATACTTATAATTGGGTTTTCTGAATTTCTACTTCATGTTTTTCGTCTCGATTTGTGTCTTTCTCCAGGAAGTTTTTTTTATGTAGAAATTTATGAAGAAATTCACAACGACCAAACCGGTTAAAGTCATTTGCAGATGTATTTTGTTGTGCTTTAAAAAATTGTACCAAAGTGGTACATTTTTAGTTTATAATGTGGTACGCGCTAAAAGTTGGGTGCGGCAACACTGCTAGAAAACAGTCGCTATAGGCCCGTAGACGAACGAAGTATTTAGCCGCGGCGGCTCATTTATGTTTGCCGCAACGGGGCCGGACCGTAGCGGATCCGAGGAAAAATGTACACCGACATTTCATGGACGCGTTCCGGCGAAGCTCGGGCCGTGTTCGGCCTAGCATGAATGTATAAGTATAAATAACATTTGACAATGTTTGGCCGTGCCTTTACCGTCGCACGGCTCCGGCCCGTCACGGTGTACCATGAATCATCCTTAACGAACTGAAAAGCCTTTTCACTAGTGAAATAAAAAGGGGATTTCCATTTGAAAAAAATTATTTATGTGATAATTTTTTAATCAATTCTATGACAGCTGCGGCCATTATTATATGACATTCGAACAATTTAATTTTTGAAATAGATAGCCACATGTTTTCTCTTTATGACTGTGGTGATTATATTATATAGTGGCTGTGGTAATCACTAAATTTGACGTTTAGGCTATACACATATTTTTGACAGGCAGTTTTTTTCCCTCAAAAATTTTAAATATTTTTTTTCTCAAAAACGGTTAATGTTAGATATAGAGTGTTTAATATCAAAATTCATAAAATTTTACTAGAATCTTTATAGAATTTAAGTATGTAATAAAAAATGGGGGCACCCATTTAAAATAAGAAAGTCGCTGTCAACTTCCGGTATTTCCGGAAGGGCCGCCATATTGAAAATCTCTTTAATCGGTAGATCTCGTTGTGAAACTATGATGTGCAAAAAATCTCCGAGCTAGGTGTTGTACTTCTCTAGAAACTTCTAATGCACGCTCAGCCTGGGACACCCTGTATACCCCCTTTGAATAAAAATATTAAGGAAGGAATATAATACTATCCATGTATTCATTCAAGGTAGACGGACAAAGGGCCCTAGGGTTGGGATCATTTGACACATTTGAACTTGATTTGAAATTTTGTGGACTTGTCAGTCTTTACTGAGCTTATTTTATGTTATTTATTATTTATTCTTCTACTGATAGTTGTTTAAATGTAGTAAATCTAGAAGGAAATTTTGTAGCAGAACTTAAATTAACACTATTGCGATTTATTGAAAAAGACTGTAAAATAGTTTGTTGTGTAGCGTGCGGTAGATCTCAGGCAAAAATCCAGCGAAATAATGGAATCATTTTTCGCTATACGCGACAAAGCTGCAACAAGTCAGTTTTAAGAATACCTTAAGTCTTAACTCATTTCTAAAATCAAAATGATTTAAGTCTTAAGTCAAATACAGCATAAAGTTTAATTTAATTAAGTTATAAGTCTTTGACTTAAGTAATTTTCTTTCCAGTCAAGTCACTTTTGTAAAGACTTTATTTATTTGTTACTTAAATCAAGATAATCTGCAAGTTAAATCAATAAAATGACTTAAATCAATATAATTCCCCCCAACCCCCCCCCTGTATTACCCATTACCGATTTTTTACATTTTATTATCTATATTAATAATTTATTGTATATACAGATTAGAATAAAATATTATACCGGGTGTTGCATCGTCGGACGGGACATAGGAAATCCCATGTAAATTTTAATGGGGTCAATTATTGGCTTCCCTAATTATTTTAGAGAATAATTCTATTTAGGTTTATTGAAGAGCACTAAAAGCTGGTTTACGAATTATCGCCGATTTCTTTTTAAATATTTCTCCTTTCTTATGGCCCTGTATTTACTTATGAGCACCAGTCAAGGTAAAAGATAACTGTCAAATGAAGTTGTCATTTCAGAAATTTACCTATTTAGTGCTCTATTATTATTGAAAACTCATTCCTACATCGGAAATATTAAAGATGTATTTATAAATACAAATTAATATGAATTAAAGTAAAATAAAGTAATCAATTACAAGGTTAATTATAGTATTATTACAATATTCAATAACTTATTAATTTAGGTACTATTAAATTGTTAGAACTTTAGGATTTAAAAAGATGTTCAAATATTCCTCCATCGACTGCTAGACAATAACCCAGGCGATCATAAAATTTTCTTCTTGCATTCGCTAGTTGGTAAACTGAAATTCTGTTGCATTCGGCAGAAATAGCATTTTTTAACTCGTCTAGATTTGGGTATTTTTTATCCTCAAATCAAATTATTTTAAGATATTTAAGTCATTAAAATTATTTAAGTCAAAAAAAGACCTAAGTTTTCTGTAAGCTTGCAGCTCTGATAAGTGACTACATAATATACATATATGTATGTACAGTACCGGCCAAAAGTGGAGAAACTTTTAATATTTTTACTATGTCAAAATACAGTTTACTCTCTGCAAAATAGGATATCAAGAAAATATTTCGCATTTAATCTGCTTTCTATAGTCATATAAAAACTGCTTATTTTGTGAATAAATTTGCAGGCAAAAAATTATTTACAAATTCCAGCGGACATAAGTGGAGAAACCTTATCTTCTTCTTAACATTCTGTGAGATATTCTCTTGTTAAAGCGTCTAGATCATGGTATTGGGTTCACAGAGCGTTAAAAATTTGACAGATCAAATAAACCAAAATCATAATTGAGAAGTATCATTCAAGAATTAAACAAATTGATATTGCTAGTCACTTCAATTTACATAAAAGTGTTGTGTGCAAACAGATTAATTTGTATAGAAATCGTGGGACAACTGCCAGTATACCCAAGCCCGGAAGACCAAAAAAAACAACTTTGGCGACAGAGAAAATAATAAGATATTCACTTAGAAATCCATTTTGCACTGCGGAGGATATAAGGAACGAATATCCCTTTATTTCAATATCTGTTAGGTCCATTAGACGGCGTCTGAAACAGGCACAACGAAATGCCAGAACACCTGCCCGAAAGCCGTTTATTTCTAAGAAAAATAGGCAGGCCCGACTACAATTTGCATTGGAACATGCAAATTGGACCTACAAGCAGTGGAAAAATGTACTCTGGTCAGACGAAAGCAAGTACAATCTTTTTGGTTCGGATGGTATTAGGTGGGTGAGACGGTCCTGCCAATGAGAGATTCAATCCCAAGTACACCATACCCACCATAAAACACGGAGGTGGGAACGTTCTAGTCTAGAGTTATTTTTCTGGGCATGGGGTCGGGCCCCTTGTTCAAATAAATGGAATTATGGATCGCTATATGTATTTAAATATTTTGCAAGAAACAATGGTACCTTATGCTGAATCCTCTCTCTCATTAACCTGGAAATTTATGCACCATAATGATCCGAAACACACTGCCAAACTTATTAAGGAATTTTTAACCGAGGAAAAAGTTGAAATGATCAAATGGCCAGCTCAAAGCTCCGACCTGAACCCTATAGAGAACCTATGGGATCAACTAGAAGTCGATGTTAGGCGTAAAAACAGGGACAAATTTAAAAATAATGACGTTTTGTTCGCTGCCCTATTACAAGCCTGGAATGAAATATCCGGGGACGTAATAAAGAACTTGATTGAGTCTATGCCCAAAAGGTGCCAAGCAGTTATCAAAAGTAAAGGCTATGCAGCCACATACTGAGACTAACGACTACAAATGTATAAAAAATACCAGTTTCTCCATTTTTGTCCTCATAGAAATTAGTTTAATTTTTTCAAAATTTAATAGAGGCTTTTTCCAAAAAAATCTCGTGTGTATTTTTATGAGACAGTTATCCTATGTATAAATATATATGCTTTATAAACATTTTCGTTCTTGTAAAACGGCAACAAATAAATTTAAAAAGTTTCTCCACTTTTGGCCGGTACTGTATGTGTAGTAAACCGATCATTTATGAAATTCACTTAAAATTAACTAATTATATATTTTGTCTTGCATTTTTGCTTTTATTTACTACTTGTCAAAGATTAGATGTCAAACAATTTAGATACGTCAATTTGACTTACCTTCTTCAGTAGTGTATCAGATATATGTTTGTGTTAATAAATATATAATTATTATAAGTTATCTATTTTTATTAGAATTATATATTTTTATAAAAATTTTAATAACTACCAACATTTATTGACAACGTAAAATAAAACAATAAATTGTTGAGTCTACCCCATGTCTACCCTACATCATATTTTTACACGTTTTGAATAAAATTAGAATGGCACTGACAAACCGGAATTTAAGCCAGCCATTTTTGATATGCTACTTCCTCAATCTTTTTGTTCAAAGCCCTTAACACTAAAGTAAGCACCGACGCCGATTTTTTTTTTGATATTATGTTATTTTACCTGAATCGACATTTTTAAATTTTCCCAGGGCTTTCGGAATCTCGTATGGATGTGTTCCATCTACGTCCATCATTACTGGCGTGTTGCCGTGAATAACAATGTCGATATTGAAGTGATCTATTAAATCCTGTGTGACCTGAAACAATAAAATGATTGCAGAATAAATGTTTTGGTTTATACCAGGTTTAATCAGTATTTATATATTTTCCGTCATACTGTAATCATTTCGAACTATATTCTTTTCAAGCCTGGCATTTATTAAAAAAAATTGGTCAAGTGCGAGTCGGAATCGCGCACGAAGGGTTCCGTACCATTCATTATCTATACAACATTAGACACTATATTATTATAAACTTTTTTCCGATTTAGCTGAAATTTTGAATACGCGTAGTATAAGTAATTAAAAAAAAATGAAGAAACACATTACTAAAAATTGTAAAAAGTAAAAATAAATATGTAAAAATTAAAAAAAAAACGATTAAAAAAGGTCGCCTTGATTAGGATTCGAACGTGCCTTACTACGGCTCCAACGTCATAGCAGCGTAAACGCCTTAACCACGCGGCCACCGAGGACTTGAAAGATTCTATGTAAAATTCTTACTTAAAAGATAATGTTTAGTGAAAGTACTTTTTTATATAAAAACATTTATTTAAATCTGTTATTAATATTTTTTCTTATAGCGGCAACATAGATACATTATCTGTGAAAATTTCAACTGTCTAGCTATAACGGTTCATAAGATAGACCTTTGTGACAGACGGACGGACGGACTGACAGCGAAGTCTTAGTAATAGGGTTCCCGTTTTTACCCTTTGGGTACGGAACCCTAAAAAGGATATTTTTACTTACTTTGTATGGGGCACCGATGACTACTTCAGACACGTATTTGCAAGCCAACACGCTCAGTACCCGCTCGTGCAGGTTCATTATGGGGTAATTTGAGTCCTTGTACCTGTTCACAACTGGATCCGTGTGTAAACCAACTATTACATAGTCCCCCTATAACAATTTAACATTATGTATATACAGATTTGGTCACTTCTGCGCTTCTACGGTCTGGAATTTAACGTGTAAGACAGTGATAGAATGAAAAATCAAATATATTAAAAAGAGAGAGACTTTAATTGGAGACCCAACAATATAAAACAAGAGCTAAAAGAGTGGGCGTTAAAATACTCTATATAGGGTGTTTCAAAACAAATGCGAAAAACTTCAGGGGGTGATTCCTTGTTTAAAATAAAGGGTAGTTTGCTTCATAAACGTTGGGTCAAAAGTCAACCATTAGGGAGATATTGCGGTACAAAGATGGCGGAAAAATAATGTTTTTATTTTTTATCTTGAAAACGAAAAGAGATAGACTAATAAAATTTTATGGAAGCATTACTGTTATGAAAACACACTTTCTGGTAATTTTTTCACTTTTTAAAATGAGTGGAAGGGGTTGAAATAAACTACCCCTATCATTCTTGTTAACGAAATTTAAAGAAAAATCTTATCAAACACATGCAAAAAAATTAATTTGGATAGTTTAGTTTGTTTAGAAACTTTTTTATCTCTTGTATTTTTTTGATAAAACTCACCGATTTGAAATTAAAAAATAAAATATAAAGCATTACATGTCAGGACAAAAAACATTTTCTGATAAAGAATCTAGTGGGCTGCTGTAATTTTTTTAGGAAAAAATCTAGTCGGCCGCTGTTACTTTTTAAGATGTTCCTAATATTATTTTATTTGACATTACTCTACTGCAATACGTTATTATCTAGATGATTATTATTATCATTATTATCACTAGATTCTTAATCTAAAAATATTTTTTGTCCAGACATGTAATGCTTTACATTTTATTTTTTAATTTCCAATCGGTGAGTTTTATCAAAAAAACACAAGAGGTAAAAAAGTTTCTAAACAAACTAAACTATCCAAATTAAAGTATTTGCATGTGTTTGATAAGAATTTTCTTTAAACTTCGTTAACAAGAATGATAGGGGTAGTTTATTTCAACCCCTTCCCTCATTTTAAAAAAGTAAAAAAATTACCTGAAAGTTTGTTTTCATAACAGTAATGCTTCCATAAAATTTCATTAGTCTATCTCTTTTCGTTTTCAAGATAAAAAATAAAAATATTATTTTTCCGCCATCTTTGTACCGCGATATCTCCCTAATGGTTGACTTTTGACCCAACGTTTATAAAGCAAACTACCCTTTATTTTGAACAAGGAATCACCCCCTAAAGTTTTTCGCATTTGTTTTGAAACACCCTGTATATACCTCATGTAGCTCTGAACAATATAAAAACACTAATAATAGACCAATGCACAATAAGTAAAAAATAACTTCAAAGGACAAGGCGGAACGTTATAGTGCACCAATGGAGTGTATAGTCGCCACCGCCGCTATCGGTGTAGCATACGCTCCAATTAAGTGGCAATTTGGTGGCGCAGGAAACGTTCTTGGAAAAAATCACTTTATGGTTCCAAAGAATCGTTGACCATGTAGTCCCAAAAAAGTTGTTGTTTCTATAAAGTCGCCTCTGGGTAGCTACAATTGTCACTTTATCAATCCGAAGATTTTAAAGGGTAAGGCTGGCTTAATATGTTTTGTTCCCGGTACTTTGTGGAAGCATATGGAACTATAAAGTATTTTTCGGATTAAACGGCCATATTTTTTTCATAACTTTTTAGACGAATAGCCAAATGGCTCAAACATTATGCGTTTTCAAGCTAAATATACCTAGATTAAAGCTTTTTTCCTTAGTTATTTTGTTATTTCTAACGGTGAACTAATATTTTTAAAGTTTGACCCCGGTTTCAAGCAAATTATAATTATTTTTTAATTACTACATGAGTTTTTATTGCAAATAATATAATAATTTGAAATATTTTGAGAGGCGCTCGAAAATTTTGTCATATGAACCCACTATTTTATTCAGTAAAGTTGATTGCGTTCTGGAATTTACCTAAAAAGGCGTTAAAAATCCCACGGTAAATAACTGAATAATAATAATAAAAATAATAATGGCTTCCATAATTATTTTCCATCATGACATTTATTTTTATGAAATGTGAAATTGTATGAAGAGGTTCGCTGCGAATAAAGTTTAACAGTTTAACGAAAGTTCCTCATGTCGTCGGTGGATAACACTTGGCTGCCACGAACCCGCGACTAGGCAGCTTCGTAACAGATAAGTCCAATTCACCAGTAGGCTACTTTATAGTATCACATCATAGTAACTCTTTTAGTGGCAAAAACTACGCAAGACACTACTCGGCTACTCAAAATCTTTCCCCATTTTGGTCGCAGTTACTTAGCAGCTACGAATATACGACGTCCCTAGTCGATGGTCACCGCCCACTTTGTAGTGGCTTTGATAGTAGCAGTTACGTCTCTGCCACTATAAATGCTAGTTGGGAAGTGCTATTAAGGAGGTGAGTTTTGTTGATGTAAATAATAACCGTTTATATATTTATAATTAATTTATTTTTGTTTCCTAAAACATTTTAATTAAAAGAAAATATGTAAAAGTGGACAACGCTGTGCCGGTCAAGCTTAATCACGTGACTAAAAGTTTATTTGATATAAACTATATATTATCTTCGTTTATTATGATATTTCACGTACGAACCGGCAACACTGTATGTTGCTTTTTATCTTTTGTCTCTGTCTATTTATCTGTTAATTGGTATATAATTATCTCTATCGTACGCATTAAAATACAGACCACGGAAATAAAGTGACCAGTGCCGTTATAAAAATGTAAATTATTTAGATTTGAATTAATATAAATCTAAAAAAATACCTGCGCCTTGGCCTTTTCCAGGAAATCCAGATGGCCGACGTGGAACAGATCGAAAGCCCCGGCAACGTACACGATCCTGTCTCCCTCTTTGGGCGCCTTGCCGTCCGAAAACTGGATGATCTTCTGCGTGGTGGGCAAGAACTGGCTGCAACCGGTATAGGGGGATCTAGCTGAAGAATCTTGACCCATTGTTGTTGAATGCTCTTTGGCAACGCTGTATTCATACTGACCTTGTTTGAAATGGTTTTTTGTCAAGAGCAACATTCGTCCTACCAGATCCGTCGTCGATACGCCCGCCGTCCTCTGTACTTCTCTACAGTTATGAGAGTCATTTTTATTTTAGAATTTATACAAATACAGGGTGATTCACGGCCATGGCACGTTAGACGTTTATGGAGAACCGGTGATAGGGTTTTTTGGAAAATTTGGATTTTCGCATAAAGGCGCATACTCCATCATCTGTCTAAATTATTTTCAGCATTACAGTGTTGCCGTTTCATATTAAAACTGGTAGCATCTTTGTTATTTTAAATTGAACACCCGGTATATTATTATATTTTTCGAAACTACTTCCATATCTCAAAATGTTTCTGTTATTCTAACTTATACTAATCTCTGATAGTTTTCGAGATAAAAAAATAAAAAATGTGCAAAATTGACAAAAACATGATCTTCAATAAGCATTGGTTAAATCATAAATTTGGAACACTGAAAGCTAAAATTTGGTTTATAGGTTAAGGAAAGCTGACATATTCCTAATTTATTATAAAATAGTGGCCAGTTTTCATAGTTGATTATAACATGGCCCGGTGGCGTAGAGGTACAGGCTCTCGTCTACCAATCTCAAGGTAGTGGGTTCAAATCCCACACCCGGCATTTCATCAGCCGACTATTTTTTATTAAAATAAAAATAGTTTGGGTACCGAGGTCGACCCATCCTTAAATGAGTATTTGGGATTCACAATCCTGAGGTAATAATAGGCGGTTGAAGCGTAGTGCTAGCCACATTACCTTCCTTGTATACCGAATGGCTCTAGTATAGCAAACTGTACCTTGCTACTCCCAAGGCGTTAAACGATATATACGGGAGCTATTATTATTATATTATAAAATTGTTCAAATTATTAAATTATTGTTATTTAAATTTAAGCCTATGTATATTATTTAAAAAATCAAAACCCAAATAAAATTGTTTTTCAACGATATATCATGTTCCTATACCTAAACCTTCTGGTTTCTTCAGTAAAGTCATTTAAAAGATAATAACTCTATTATAATTGTTTCGTTTAAAGAAAATCGTTACCATGACAAATATTCTAACTTTATAAGATAAGTATCAAACAAAGGTATAGTAAACGCCACGAATGTTTGGGAGTGATTCATCGGTCGCTACCATGTGAACTAATCTGAAGGTCACATAAAACTTAATTCCAGTGCCGTGGTCTTTCAAGTCATATAATAATAAATATATAATCTGTTGTAATTTGTTGTTTTAACTGTCAAAGTCTTGTCAAAACGTATATTTGGTTATAAATATAAAATGGAATGCCCAATTGGTCGCACTGCAAGCACACCAATGGACTGACGCACAAAAACGAATCATCCAAAGAAACGCGATATAGTATCGTCTTTGTCAATCACGCTAACATTTAAGAATAAGTAGGAGGAGCGCAGGCAGATGATTATACCGGGCCTTTAAAAACCTACGTCTGCGGTAAAAACTTACGTTTTTAATGTAAAAATGATAGCGCGCGTGTCGATTCTAACTTCATCAAGCGATGAATCACTCCCAAACATTCGTGGCGTTTACTCTATCAAATAGAGTTTACGTGCGAAATTTCAAAAACTGCCATGGTAACGAAATTCATGAAATGAAACTATAATAATAGATTTATTAATTTCTAAATAGCTCTACTTAAAAAACCGGAAGGTTTGTATTGTATTGTATTTGTATTGAAATTTGTATGAAATGGCCAGATATATTGTTTTACATCACTTGACGTTTAAAGTCATAGGCTACTGGTTAAAATCAAGGAAAATATACGCTTTAAAACTAACTCTTAAATAACTTAAGAACGATTTATTTTAGGTATAGGAACAGGTATAGTCAAAAAGTAACGAATTGAAAAGCCTTTTCACTAGCGAAATAAAAATGTGGGTTTCCATTTGAAAAAAATGACCTATGTTAATTTTTAAATCGCTCAATTCTATGACAGCTGCGGCCATTATTATATGACATTCGATCAATTTAATTTTTGAAATAGATAGCCACATGTTTTCTCTTTATGGCACAGTGGCTGTGGTAATCACTAAATTTGACGTTTAGGCTATACACATATTTTTGGCAGGTAGTTTTTTTGTTCAAAAATTATAAATATTTTTTTTCTCAAAAACGGTCAATGTTAGATATACAGTGTTTAATATCAAAATTCATAAAATTTTACAGAGAATTTAAGTATGTAATAAAAAATGGGGGAACCCATTTAACATGAGAAAGTTGCTGTCAACTTCCGGTATTTCCAGAAGTGCCGCCATATTGAAAATATGTTTAATCGATAGATCCCGTTGTGAAACCATGATGAGCGAAAAATCTCCGAGCTAGATGTTGTAGTTCTCCAGAAACTTTCTAATGCACGTTCAGCCTGGGACACCCTGTATATCGTTAAAAAGCAATTTTATTAGTCTTTTGATTTTTTGAATAATATGCACAGGATTGAATTTAAAATAACAAAGATTTAAGTAATTTTATAACAAACGGAAATAAATAATATTTTTGTTCTATCTGTGTAATATCCAATCGGTTTATTTACACATATCGAATATATCGCCTTTCGTTAACTTATAACCCAAATTTCAACTTTAAAAATGTTTAATTCCTAATTTTACCAATACTTATTCACGATCATGTTTATGTCAATTTTACACGTTTTATTTTTTATCTTAAAAGCTATTAAAGATAGGTATAGGTTAGTATAATAGAAAAATTATGAGAAAGGAAAGTAGTTTCCAAAAATGGAATAATTTACTGGGTTTTCCATTTAAAATAAGAAAGATGGTACCAGTTTTCGAATGATGCGGCAACACTGTAATGCTGAAAATATTTTAGAAAGATGGAGCTGGTACCTTTATGTAAAAATCCAGATTTTCAAAAAAAACGGTTCTCCGTAAACGTCTAACGTGCCGTCGCCCTGAATCACCCTATATACCGTTTTTTTTCAAAGTGGCTCACCCTTTAACTTTTTTATTTTTAATAAAAAATATGCACACATTTGGTAAGTTAGTATAGCACATAAATCTGCACTGACAGACATATTCAATTAGTTAGGCTGGTATCTTTTCTGTTTAAGTACAAAATACTTACTGAATATCAATTCGGATTTCTAAGCAACAAGTCCACAAATGACGCTATGTTTTCCCTCCTTAATACAGTTTACTCCAGCCTAAACAACCATCATTCTACAGCAACAATTTTCTGTGATTTTTCTAAGGCGTTCGATTGTGGAAATCATAAGATCTTAATTAATAAACTGCAGCACTATGGGTTCAGGGGATCATCTCTCGAATGGTTTAAGTCGTATCTGAGCAACAGAAGTCAACTTGTGAGGGTGGATACCACGTTGTCTTCTAGCAAGCCAATAGAATGTGGAGTACCACAAGGCTCAGTACTAAGCCCTATTTTGTTTCTTCTTTTTATTAACGACATTGCTAACATAAACATCAGTGGCAAAATATGTCTTTTTGCGGATGACACTAGCATCAGTTGGAGCAACAAGGACATCACGGCACTTCATAGGATTATATCAAATGACTTAATCACCATTAAATCTTGGTGCAATTCGAACCTCCTAAGTTTCAACATTTCTAAAACTAAAGCTTTGTCGTATAAAAACTCGTTGCAGCTTTTTGTACTTAACAACACCACCATTGACGTCGTCAAATCTGTAAAATTCTTAGGGCTTGTTGTGGACAATTCTCTGAAATGGGACATACATATGGAAGCTTTGTCGGAAAAATTGAGCTCTGCCTGTTTTGCATTAAGGTCTGTTTCTAAGGAGCTTAACTTGTCAGTGGCTAAAACTGTTTATTATGCACTTTTTGAGTCGCACCTCAGGTATGCCCTTCCATTCTGGGGTATGTGTTGTGCGACTCAATTTGACCGCATTTTCAGGCTCCAGAAGAGAGCTGTTCGATATTCACTGGGATTATACAGCAGAACTCATTGCCGGGACTTTTTAAAAAAATAAAAATATTGACTCTTCCTTCCTTATTTATATTTGAATCCGTTTGCCTAATACGTAAACATGTATCAGCTTCTCAAGAAAGGCCATCTCACACTTATCCACTCAGGAACGTGGAGCAAGATCATACCTACTATCATATCTACCTACCACACGCTCAGAGTTAGTTAAAAGTTCAATATTATACAACTCGAAAAAAATGCACAATCACCTGCCATTTGAAATCAAATCCATAACATCATTTTTTTCATTTCGCAAAGAATTGAACTCTTATTTACTAGACAAGGCTTTCTACGCCGTAAATGAATTATATTTTGAAAATAAAATTTGATCTTGTAAACACTGGTCTACTTTTGCTATTGCTATATTTACTAATGACATCGAAATGAATTTATTTAGAGGTCATTGATATTTTACTATAAACTAGCTAAATATTTTTGAATATTATTTTTATTTTTTTGTTCTTTGACATTATAAACATTTATAAATGTTTATTTTAACAATAATACTGACAATATTATTTGTATAATGTTTTGTATTATTTTTTGTTTGTTTGTTTGTGTACCTTGTTTTTTTACTTTGTTTGTTAGTTTACCTTTGTCTACAAATTGAAAAATTTTTTGACAATAAAGGCATTTATTTATTTATATTTATTTATTATAAAATATGATTCTGAATAGAATGACACAAGAATGACATTTTAACTTAAAAAAATAGTATTTTAAATTTTAATCTAGGGGGCAACGACCGTAAATACGGGATATCCCAATATTCCGTATTGTAAAAAAAATAAAACACCTTTTTAGCCGACCATACCAACAGGTATGGTAGGCTATTAAGATCGGGAAAAAAAGTTTTTTTAATTTCACTCAAAATGAGTAATTTGGTTCATAAATGAACTAAATACAAAATATTTTCATGGTGTCTGTCTGTCCGTCTGTAACACGATAACTCAAAAACCGCTAAACCGATTTTAACCAAATTGGGCACAAAAATACTGTGACACCCGAGAATCTGGCCATTAGTTTTTGGTGGGGGTGGGGGGTTGGTAAGGGGGTATGGGAGAGGGTATGGAAGGGGGTTAAAAATTTAAAAAAATCGAAACTCCAAAATTACAGTACCTAGCGAAACGCGGTTTTTAATTTAAGATTAGGAATAATATTTGCAACAAAATTTGTAATAACATCAAAATCAGTCACAGTCGCAGTTTTTGAGATATTCATGTTTCCGTAGTCCGTTTTGAGAAAATCCGTGTGGAGAATTCCAAACTCCCATCGGACGCGACCCCAGGTGGCGGATAGGGGAAAAAATTCCTATACTTTGAAACAAAATTGGAAAAATTCCTTTACTTTGAAACTAAAAGAACTGCCTACCAACTTTTTATTAACATATTTTAGTATGGGCGGCTATACGTGCCTCCCGGCGCCAATTTTTTTAGATATTTTAAGAACCGTTAATCCGACTAGAATTAGATTTTGGGTGTCTATGTTTTGCTAAGTGGTTTAACATTTGACTTTCACAAAAAACATGAAAAAGTACGGGAAAGGTGAAAACTACTCCCACCCCTACATAAATTTTAGTATAAACATTTTCTAAACCAAACTCAACTTACAACCGATTTTTTTTTCATAAAAAAATTTAATCGGCTAGGGAAACACAGGAAAAATATTATAGACGATTAAATATATGTTTCCAAGGCTCCTTGATTAAAAATTAGTAGTTAACACAGCCATGGCACTCTAGATTGAAATTTAAAATAATTTTTTTTGAGTGGAAATATCAAAAGTTGACATATGATATGTGATTCCATTCGGAATGGCTTTTTCTATCAAATAAAGTAAAAAAATATCGAGGGTACACATTTAAAAATCAAAAGTTGTAAAAAATATTTCCGGTGAAACGGGAAGTGACTGAAACTAATTGAATACGTCAATCAATTCTGATTTATCTCATAAACTATCACATCTTGGTTTTTTATCTGAAAAAATAAAAAATGTTATTGGATAAGCCACTTTTGAAAAACACGTGGTATAATAATACAAAGAGTTACTAGAATTACTACGAGTTTTTGAAAGTATCTCAAAGCAATATATATTTTGACAACTACTTAAAACAATACTTTTTCCCACGGGTTAAACAAAACATATTCATTATAAATGAATGTTTTATTCCATTCTTAACGATATCGCCTCATAACATAAGTGCTAAATATAAGATTAAAATTTCTCAGATCTCTAAATTCAGATAATCAACAAGCATGTTCATAATGATTAGGTATTGAGTCAAAATTTCGAAAATATTTGAATTTGTATTATGAAGTAACTTTTATGTTTATATAATATAATTTATATTTATATTTTATTTTTCTATATTTTGTCTAGACTTTTTGAATATTTATACTTTACACAGGGTGTTTCAAAAAATATATGCCGTCACTCGTGGGGAGATTCCTTACGTTAAAATAAAATTTATTTTTTATTTCAACATAGCCTCGATTATGATTTGTTTCGTAGTTTCAGGCTTTTAAAGTCTTCATTTATTTTCAATTTATTATAATTTCCTTCCAAGTGTTTTTAATGATTTGAATGAAATGGTATTTTTTTTTCTCAGTAGTTTTATACAGGTATGAACGAAAAGTTATTACTCTTCAAAGGGCGCCAAAAATATGTAGGTGGCGCCCTCTACAAGTAGCAGTCATATGGACATGAAAATCAAATTTTTCATGTCAAAAAACTTCGAGACAGCAATTTTCATTTAGATATCGACGTTAGTTCAGAAATAAATTGGAAAAAATCAAAATAAAAATGAAACTTCTACACCCTGATCTCCGAAACTAAGTATTTTAGGACATAAATTTATAAGAACTTTTTTACTTATTTTTATCTGCAGAATATGCTGCCGGAAGTTTCCGGAATACAGTTCGGACCACCCTGTATATTTGAATTAAACAGTTTCAGATAACCAACATTTTTTTGAAATGATATTTTGAATATTTTTGAAACCAACATTTCAGATAATTACAAAATATCATTTATACCTGTATATGTTGAAATACTTGTTAAGCTGAAAATGTTTTTTGACTTTCTTGTAATAAATTTGTTTATCTATATATAAGTTTGTCAAACTGAAGTGGGTGGACTTATCAATGTGCTTTGTATGAAAAATATATGACACATCATGTAAAAAGTTACAAATTATTGCACTTTATACCGTATGATCGAAAAAAAATAGCGTCCAGTTGGCTTGGAAATGACAATCGATGACATTTTCAATATAATTTTATATATAAAATGACAGCGATCTTCATTTCATAGCCATCGCTGACGCCGTTTTTATTCGATCATACGGTATTATTTCTTAAAGGTTTTCAATATCTCTAATAATTTGGATTATTTAGAGACATATACAGAGTGTAAATGAATAAGCGTCAAAAAATAGGAAGAATTTCTTGATTTAACATTTTTTCAATTGTAGTTTCTCTCAAGAATGGTATACAGGGTGTTTCAAAAAGCATGTGCCATCTTTCGTGGTAAAAAACGTAAAAAGATTTATTTTTTAGGTCCGATTCTGCTTTGTTTCGTAGCTACAGGGTGTTAAAGTCTTAATAATCTTTCGATCTATTAGAATTTTCTTCCAAGTGCTTTTAGTGATTCGAAAGAAATTTTGAGGGTAAAAGTTACTATAAGTGCTACATATTTTAATGCTAAAAGAGCGTCGACAAATTCATCAAGGACGTGCTTATCACTGAAATATTTTTTAAAAATATGTGCGCCACTGACTTTGTTCTTTTGATATCCAAATTGTGTAGGCCGTTTAATGCCAATGAAAATTTATCTCTTGATATTTGTCGAATTCGGACTTCTTGATGAGATACACGCAATTTAATTAAGGCTGTACTTAAACTGCCGTTAAACGGTAGCTTACTAAAATGCCGTTAATAGGTATGACGTCGTTGATGTGACGCACTTGACGGCTTTATGAAATATAGGAATTTTATAAGGACTAACCAACGCTATCCACCCCACCAAATAACCAACTTAACCAACGCAACTAACCTCGACACTGATAAAAAATATAAAAAACAAATATAAATTAGTAAAAATCAACCAATCCCACCAAATAACCAACTAACCAATGAATTAACACCCTCCAAATAACCACGCTAACCAACCCGCCAAATAACTAAACCAATCCAACCAAAAAGTATGAAACCAATGCAATAAGATCACGCTATAAGCAATAAAAAATATAAAAAAGTCTTGGTCGGCGTGAGACTTGAACCACAGACCATCCGCTTACGAAGCGATAGCCTCAGCCACTGACCCACAGGTGCTCTTGCAAAAAGTTTAAGGCTAGGCATTACTTTCCGCCGACATGAACGACGTCACAATATCTATTAACGGCATTTTAGTAGGCTACCGTTTAACGGCTGTTTAAGTACATCGTTTAATTAATCACAAATAATAAAATAAAAGTAATAAATTATATATTTTACCTAATTTATTATTAAATATTATTTATTATTACTATTAGTCCAACCTACAGTAATTTCAAATAAAAAATAATGGTATTTAAGATAATTACAAAAAACCTAATTTTAAAATGTTTTACCATCCTGTAACTCTAAAACTATACACATTTAAAGGAACTTTTTTTCATATTTTTTGATGAGGAATCAATGAGTACTTATTTAAAACTTTCGCAAGTTAATGATATTAATTTTTTTAAAAGTTGCTATTAGACTAAACTTGGATCAAGGCAAATTAATCAAATTGCGTTTATCTCATCGACAACCAACTTTTAAATTGGTTTCCCGTTTTTTGCATTCCAATTGTACCAACTTATTTCTTTGTAAAATAAAATAAACTAGGTACTTTGAAATTAAAATGACAGACTACCAATCAAAAATTTTGTTGTTGGATAGACTATACAATTTGTTTCATGTATATTGAATATTCTATGCTCAGAAATAAAGCTTTGAAGACGCATTCCACATATTTATCAGTATATATTAGTATTTTTTCCATTAAAAAAATTAAAATTTCAATTAAAGTACACCATTCCAAAAATCACCTACTTGTATCTGCCTGCATCCTTTACAATCTTGTAGGTGTCCACTCCGTCAGCCGTCACTGTTATGTCATCCCCATGCACGCAAAAATCACAATCATACTTATCCAGTGTTTCCAGTGTGGTGACGTATGGAGCTCCTTCGATAACTTCATCCACCCATTTGATTCCCCTCACCATTTTGTACCTAAAACATGTCAATCATTTAATCCATTTTTTTTTGAGAATTATCAACTTAAAATTATTAATTTATATGGAGCGAATTCTACAAGGTGTTTCAGAAACATGTGCCATCTCTCCATAGAATCAGACCTATGTCGATATAGAAAATAAATCTTATTTTTATTTCATGTTTCTCTTCACATGTTTTTGGAAATACCCTGTATATAATTTGCAGTTAACTGTTTAACTTATGGAAATAAAATACTTACCGTTCTTCTTCAGTGAATACAGGAGGACCTTTATGTTTTCTTATTTCGTCATCGTTATGTACTCCAACAATAAGTTTGTCACCTAGTGCTTTTGCCTGTCTCAGTGAATTTGCATGACCAAAATGAACCATGTCATAGCTAAAATTTAAAAAATATATGTATATGCTTCATTAAAATGATCAATTTCATATTGACAGAAATAAATTTGTGAATTTATATTTTAAATTCTTAGTTTTTTTTCAATTGATAATTTTAAATAATAAAACTTACCACCCATCACACCATACTCTAACTTCTCTTTTGTCGTGACCATTTTCCAAGCCGTTTTGCTGCATGTTCTTGATATTATTGCTGACCAATTTCTCTCTTTGTGGGGATGACACAGTAGTGACAGGACAGGTTCTAATGTGCAGGTATTATATTGCTATAGAATAAAAAAAGATATATTTTTTAAATCATAATCAGCATTTTTTGGTTGATGAATAAACTTAAAACAATGTTACAAATAATCAGCATACAGATACCAATTAAAATAAAATAAAATATCAGTAGTTTGAAGCCTATTAAGAATATTTATCTTAAATCCATTAACGCAATATCACAAAAAATGTAATCTGTAACAATTGTTCTGTGATTTTGTAATTAAAATGTATGTATTTTTAAGTATTCCTATTTTCAAGTTAATAAATAATTCAATATATAGACGCTAAAAAAATACAGGTGTTAAAGACAAAGGACCCATTTTATTCTAAAATAACACTTTTGATACACAATTAAACGATTTTTTAATTGATAGAAAATAGTAAACAAATACAATAGAATAATAATTAACTTATACACTGCTTTGAATTACCTATTGTTATCACTCTATTTTGTATTATTTCTTTCAAATAAAATATAAATCAACCCCTTTATGATAATTTAAATAAATATAATTTTACCTACCCTTATTTTGTCGTAATGCGTTGAAAACACAAACCATATAAATAAAAATAAACGGATGTACGATTAAACATAATACCATAACAGGCACATTGTAGGACGATAAGTATTCGAGAAACAGAGATTAACTTTTTTAATTGGACTATATTTGTATAAATATATCTACTTATTTACAGATTCTTTTTGATTTATGTTACAAATTATCAGAAAATTTCTAGGCTGTCAAAGCAGAGCCTTTGGATTATCACACCACCCTATGCCACATTGCCATTCTTATCGAATACTTGATGTTTTGAACACGTTTTAAAGAATCGCTTAAAAATTGCTTTATTTATGTCGGTTAAATAGCAATCGTCATTAAATATTTATAAAAAAAAATCCAGAAATAGTAGAGAAATATTGCAAAGCTGGGCGTATTACTAATGCAGAGTCAATATAATAAAGTCTGATTTACACAGAATCCTTGTTTTCTAAGAAGTCATGCAATAGTTGTCAACGTTGTTCTTCCACGTGGTGTCCCCACTTGCCCTATCGGTTTTTTCCATCTTCCCGGTTATTAAATTTTAAATACAACCATTTAGTTGATGACTATAAAACTATTCGAAAATTGGTTACATGGCCAATTATTAATTGCTGTTGAGCAATTGATGAGTAAGCAGTGAATTCAATGGTTTCATTTTTTTTTGGGATAATTTGATGCTGTATGTCTGGTTGTATACCCTTGTCTAATCATATATTTTATATTTTTAAAATATAATTTTTAATAAAAAATATTAGTTTGAACACATAAAACTATCAATCGTTTTAAGTTAATTTAATTAATACATTTTATCAACATTAAAGTATTTACGTTTATTACACATTTAAACTTATTGTTAGTAATAGGAATCTGTAGTTATGTAGTTCGCATACTGCAAGATAGATGGAACGGCAATTAGAAATAATAGAAATCTGTTTAATGATTTTAAGAGCTTCAAAGTTTTCTCCAAAGGTGTCTCTAGATGTAATAATTTGAAAATTAAACAGATTTCAATTTATTTTGATTTTCTTTCGGATAAAAAACACAATTGATATGCAGAAACGATCAAAGAGAACGTAACATATTCCACTAGATATTGATCAATTTGATTTGTCACAAAATATTGCGTTCCCCACATACTCTGGGGACATTCCACGGTGCACGTGCATCTAAAAGCGGTCTCATTAAGTTAACGAAGACACGTGCGGTGCGTAGGCACTTGGCACGTGCAGGAGGGTCGAATTGTGACCCCTGCATCGCTCATTTTGGGGCTGGTGTGTAGAGAGAATTGCAGGAAGATCGATTAAGATTTTGTTTGCACATGCATCATAGGATTCGGTACAGGATTAACTGAGAAACTAAAGTCGCAAAAGTAATCTGCGTGGTAATCTTCTTAGATCACCAGTGGGTTATTGCAATTTTCTTAAAAAGTTCATTTCGTTTGGATTTATTTATATTTTTTGGAAAGATTTTAGAATAGCGAAGGAACCTGTTTTTCGTATTATACACTACTAAACTACTACTTACTACTAGTAAACGATTAGATTTTTACAAATTGTAATTTTTGGGTTCGTTGAAGGATTATTAGAGCTACAATTTGAAAATATTTTTACAAAGTACAGGGTGTCCAAAATAGATAAAAAATATCAAAGTTGTATTTTTTTAAATGGAACACCCTGTATATTATTCTATTTTTAGACTCTACGATTGAAATTTGATTAACGTTTATCACACTTAAACCGTACCGTTTTTGAAATATTATTAATTTTATGAAATTGCAGTAAAAATTTTAAGGCTTCATTTCTTCAACGGTATCGAAGCTTTTAATACTAAATATTTACTGAAGTTTACTGATCAGATATTGTGTTGCAATAATAGACAAAATACTATCTTATACAGAGTGTCTAAAATTTGATTTTAAATAATTACCAGCTTAAACAGCAATAACTTGTTTATTTTAAATGAAACACCTTGTATATTTTACGAGAATAAGATGCACGATTTAATTGTTTATCAAATTGTATTATACCATTTTTTACCTATCTCTTCAAGTTTTCCTAGAAAATGCATTTTCTTATAATTTGGACTTAATTTACCTATCACTATACCCATGGAATATTGACATTTTAGATTTAATAATAATCTCTCTAATTGTGCATCTAATTCACGTAAAATATTCAGGATGTTCCATTTAAATTAAACAAGTTATTGCCGTTTAAAGCTAGTAATTACTTAAAATAAATTTTTTGACACTCTGTATAAGGTAATATAATTTTTATTATTGCAACACAATATCTGATCAATAAATAATCTTCAGTACATATTTAGCCTTAAAAACTTTGATACCCTTGGAGAAATGAAACATTAAAATTTTTACTGCAATTTCACAAAATTGAAAATATTTCGAAAACGGTATTGAATCAAATTTACCTTTATTTCAATCGTAGAATCTAAAAATAGAATAATATTCAGAATGTTCCATTTAAAAAAATACGACTTTGATATTTTTTTATCTATTTTGGACACTCTGTATTTTGAAAAAAATATTTTTAAATTGTAGCTCTAATAGTCCTTCAACGAATCCAAAACTTACAATTTGTAAAGATCTAATCGTTTAGCTACAATTCTACGTGTCGTATGTGGTGAACTACCCTGTATAACAAAATATTTTTAGGATACGCACCATCATAAACCATTCTACATCTGTATAAATTTTTTCTATATCTTCCACAACGATGATATTGACGACGATATTGGACTTCCTCGCACTAATAGACCACCCTGTATAACTCTGCTTATAAAGTATTTAAATTCTGAGTTTTATCAATAAACAAAGATTTTTATTGGATGGCTAACGATTTTTGGAACGGATTCGATGTATTTTTAAGCGAGTTTAATAATAAAAAAAGTGCTGGATATTTTCGTAGATAAATTGGAAAAAATGTTCGACCAGGTGCGACAGCTGTATGACGCTATTTCGAGGATCCACCAAATGTTGATACATTTGGTCATTGGCGGCTTCCACTCAAAATATCCCATAGTTTTTACACTGAAATATGCCTTGCTATTAAGCTAAATGTTAAAAAATCAGTTTTAAACAACGTAAACTAAATTTTCCTGATCATAATCATTGTAGGTACTTTTAATATTTTTATGTATTTCATTGTATTTTAACATTCATAGATACTTTTATTTTTCCCTCTACGATACATACAGTGTTACAGATAAAGTTCGCGTCATATACCGGGTGTTTTTCAAAAGTGGTTCACCCCTATAACTATTTTAGTTTTTCAAACAAAAAAAAACGAGATTCGGTATGTTAGGATACAATATAAATCAGGACTTTCGGTCACTTCCTCTGTTTCAGCGGAAGTGACTACCTACCACTTTTGATTTTTACAACTTTTGACATTTTTGCTTAAAAAATTACTATGTGTTCATAACGACAATTTGTCTCGAAATACCAAGTATGTGGTACCAAATTATTCGTAAAAAAATGCTCTTTTCAAATATGCCAATAAGCCAACCTCGTTCCATTTGAAAAAATTGAGATATGATGAAAAATACGATTTGGGCATCTTTTAAACGGTCAGGAAGTCACGAAAAACATTAGACGATCAAATATATTTTTCCAAGGCTTCTTGATTAAAAATTGATGGTTTTTACATAGCCACTAACTAATATTGAATTTTAAAATACTATATTTTTGAGCGCAAATATCAACAGTTGACATATAATAAATATGTCATTCTATTCAGAATGTCATTTTCTATCAAATAAATAAAAAAAAAACAACTAAAAGTCCCATTTAAAAATCAAAAAAAGCAAGTGTCCGAAATTAATTGAATACGTCAATCTGACCTTATGTCACATACTAACATACCAAATCTCGTTTTTTTATCTGAAAAAAATAGAAAAGTGATAGGGATGATGTCCTTTTGAAAAACCCCCGGTAAAATTTTTTGTTATTAAATGAATTTAGGGAAAATTCAATGACTTTGGCGTTAGTTTTTGCTTTGAAATACCAATGTTAGAAATGGCATAAAATGTAGCGTGTTACTCTTGCGTATCTGTCAAATTTGACATTTATTGCAATAAATAGGTAAAATTTGGAATAATTGACTAGATTTTTAAAACTCTATTTGAAAAGGTTGTTTCTTTTTTAATTTTACATAAGTGTACCAATTTTTAGTAAAAAAATCATAATTTTTAACCAATAGCAGTAGATTCTTTTGACAGAAACAAAAATCACTAGCTTATTTAACTTTTAACTTCTTTATTTTTTTAGTTAAAAAAACGAGATTTGGTATGTTAGTATATGACATAAATTAGAATTGATTGATGTATTCAATTGTTTTTGGTCACTTCCTGTTTCACCGGAAATTACTACAACTTTTGATTTTTAAATGGCACCTTCGGTATATTTTTACTTTATTCGATAGAACATGACATTCTGAATGGAATGACATATCAGATGTCAACTTTTGACATTTTCGCTTAGAAATAGTGCCATAGATGTGTTAAAAACACTTTTTTTAATCAAAGAGCATTGGAAAAATAGATTTGATCGTCTAATGACTTCCGTGTCTTGTCCGAACCCGTTATAAGATGTCCAAATCGTATTTTTATTCATATCTCAATTTTTTCAAATGGAACTAGGGTGGCTCATTAGCATATTTGGAAAAAGCATTTTTTACGAATAATTTGGTATTTTGAGTTATATTGTTACAGTGAACCGCATGTTACAATTTCAAATAAACCATATGAGAAAATGTCAAAAATTGACATCTGTCATTCTATTCCGAGTGTCATTTTCTATCGATTAAGGTAAAAAAATACCGAAGGTGTCATTTAAAAATCAAAAGTTGTACCTAGTTATTTCCGGTTAAATAGGAAGTGACCAAAAACAATTGAATACGTCAATCGATTCTAATTTATGTCATATACTATACATACCAAATCTCGTTTTTTTATCTGAAAAAATAAAAGTTATAGAGGTGAGCCACTTTTGAGACGCACCCGGTATATTCCTAAACACCAAGGATAACAGAATAAATTCGTGGAGGTAAACTCATATTATCTTATACGGGGTATTTTTCTATCTGTCAAATTTGACATTTAAACTAATAAATGATTAAATCTCTGGTTAAATAGTTAATTGACCACCCTGAGCGAGCACATAGTACCAGGCTTAATTTTACAAATTTGCTTATCTACACCAATTTATTAGTCAAACTACAATAAAAATTTGTC